AATTATAACTGAAATTTGATAGGGACAGTGCCAAATCTTTATATAAATTTGGGTGGTATTGTTATCTTCAAATAGTAAACAGCCTTTCAATCCATCAACATGGGATATAGCTTTCCATTTGTATACCTCTTTAACTTTGTTCAGCAGTGTTTTGTATTTTTCAGTATATGAAACTGCTTTTCTTCTTCTCTTTTTGGTTCCAGCTCACAGAACCCAGGGATTTATGTTTTTTAATTGGTATGATAATTGTACATAGTTATGGAGTGCTGTGTGATATTTGATACATGGATAATGATCAAAACACAGTAGTTAGCATATCCAGCACCTCATACATTAGTCATTTCTTTGTGTTAGGAAAATTTAAATTTCTTACTGTTATTTTGAAATATGCAGTAAATTATTGTTGACTATGGTTACCCTACTGTGCTGCAGTAGAACTTAATCCTTCTGTCTAACTGTATTTTTGCACCTTACCCAGTCTTTCTCTGTCTCCACTTCCCGCCTTGGGCAACCACTTTCTGCTTCTGCGAGACCAACTTCTTAGCTCCTACACACACAGCATTTGTCTTCTTATGCCTCGCCTGTTTTGCTTTACATAATGTTGTCCACAATGACAAGATTTCATTCTTTTTTATGGCTGAAAATATTCCATTGTGTATATTTAACACATTTTCTTTATCCTGTGAATAGAATTTTCTTAATTGCATTCTAGGTTTTTCATTGGCAATGTATATAACTTTGCAATTAATATTTCATGACTGTTGTTTCTTATAAACTTGCTAAGCTCCTTTATTGGGGCCCCTCCACAATATTGGGAATTGAACTCAGAGTCTTCACACTGAGCTATATCCCCCGTCACTTTTAAATTTTGAGACAGGGTCTCACTAAGTTGCTCCAACTTGAGCTTGATCTCATAGCCCCCTGCCTCAGCCTCCCAGAGTGCTGGGAGTATGCCACTATGCCCTGCACATTTACATGGAATATCTTTCCATTTGTGGAGCTCTTCAACTTCTTTCAGCAATGTTTTGTATTTTCCAACATATAAAATACATTTCAATAGCTTTTTTAGTAGCTTCTCTAGGATTCTTTTTTTCTTTTTTTGTACCAGGAATCAAATTCATGACCTCTTGCTTGCCAGGCAGGTGCCTATGCCGCTGAGCTAAATCCCCAGCCCCCCAAGGATTCCCTTATGTTAAGACCATATTGTCTGTGAACAGATAGTATCCTTTTATTTTTCTTGAATTGTGCTGGCTAGAAGGACCAGTATAGCTTGAAATGAAGTAATGAGAAAGGACATTGTTGTCTTTTTTTCATATTAAGAGGAAAATATTCCTTTTTTTTTTTTTTTTTTTTTTTTTTTGAGACACAGTTTCACTATGCAGGTTAGGCTGGCCTCAAACTCACAGCAAATTTCCTGTCTCATTCTCCCAAGTGCTGGGAGCGCGCCTCCCAAGTGCACCACCACGCCCAGCCCAATCTTTCTCCTTTAAGTATGATGTTGCTCTAGGTTTTTACATGTGTCATAGGTGAGAAAATTCTCTTCATAGTTCTTTCATTTTTATCATGAATGGGTGTTGGGTTTCAGCAATTGAATTTTCTGCAGCTTCTGACATAATGGTATGGTTTTGTTTTTTTTGAGATAATGATATATTTTTAGTCAAGATGATGTTTTACATTGATTTTGGTATGGTAAACCAACTTTTCATTCATTATGTGATAAAGCATACTTAGTCCCCCCTTGGTATAATCCTTTTTATATGTTGCCAGAATCCATTTGCTAGTATTTTGTTGAGGGATGTACATATATATATTCAATCAACATGTAGTTCTCTTTTTTTGCGGTTTCTTTTTTTTCTTTTCTTTTCTTTTTCTTTTTTCTTTTTTTTTTTTTTTTTTTTTTTTTGCAGTTTCTTTATCTTGTTTGGTGTCAGGGTAATGCTGGCTTTATATAGTGACTTAGAAAGTTTTCCCTGCTTTTTTTTAATTTTGGAAGAATTTTGTGAAGGATTTACCTTTAAGTATTTAGTGGTATCACTGGTGACCCTGGACTTTTCCTTATTTCTATGCAGTCAATAGTATTGTTCCCTTTTTGTCCATATTTTGGTGTGTTAGTGTCTTAACTTTTTTTCTGGTCAGTCTGCATAAGCATTTATCAATTTTGTTGATCTTTTATTGATCAAGAACCAGTTTTTTTATTTTTTCCAACTCACTCTCTAACCTTTACTACTTTCTCTTCCTACTTGGTGTGAATTTACCTTTCGCTTTCTACTTCCCAAATGTGGAATGTTATTCACCGGAGATTTTTTCCAAGTAGATGTTTGCAACTACAAATGCCCACCTACACACACAGACACCCACATAACTTTCATCCTGAGGTGAAAGTGAGGCTCTCGACCTGATATGACATTTTAAATGTAGACATTTGCATCTGTGTGCTTCCCTTTGGCCCCAGCTTTTCACCTATTTTCTAATTTACCTCCTGGGTTATTTAGCAATGTATTAATTCCAACATTTGTAAATTTACAATTTTTTTCTCTGGTCATTTCTCCTTTCCACTGAGATCAGAGAACATTCATGATTTCTGTCTCAATATTGCTATCCCTTGGATCTTGTTTGATGGCTTACTGTATGGCTTGTGTTTAATATGCACTTTAGAAGGCAGTGTATTCTGCTGTTACTAGGTAGAGTGTTCTATGAATATCTGTGGGCTTTCAGTATTTTTCAAGTATTTTGATTCCTTATTGTTTTTTGTTGGTGCTGTTGCTTTTTTTTTTTTATCGGTACCAGGGATAGAACTCACGACCACGTGATTGCAAGGCAGGCGCTTATGCGGCTGAGCTAAATCCCCAGCCCCTGTTGCTTATTTTTTGCAACAATAGGTATTGAACTCAGGGCCTTTGCTTTGCACATTGAGCTATATCCTCAGTTCTTTTTTTTATTTTCCATTTTGAGACAGGGCCTTACTAAATATCTGAGTTGTCCAGGCTGAACTGAAACTTACAGTCTTCTTGCCTTAACCTCTCAGAGTGTTAGAAGTACGGGTTTTGCCACCAGGGCTGGCCTTCACCTGGTGCTTTTATAATTTCCACTGTTAAGGGTCCCTACCTGTTATAGTTTGTGTCTAGATGTCCCCCCAAAGCCTCATACAGTCATGGAGGTATGCTTCTGAGTTCGACTGATTCATGGTCCAATGCTGGGATTATGGGTGTGAGTGCTAAACCTTCCCTGGAAAGGGTAACCTGCCTACAATATAAGGAAGGGAAAGAGGCTTGCTCTCTGCTCTCCTCTTTAACTCTTGTTGCTTTATTGTCTTTTGCCCCCGTGAACTGTTGCTCATCTGCTATGCCACCCTGCCTTGGAGCCAGCTGATTATGGACTGAAACTCCCACAAACTGTGAGCTAAATAAACTTTCTCTGTTTTAACTTTAGGCAGTATGATGGTGTTCTCTGAACACCCTGATGGTTGCTTCTTGCTTATACCCTCTGCCACAGTAGTATGGTTCCAAGTAAGAACCTCATCCTAACTTCCAGCACATTATCAATCACCACTCTGAAGGAAGTTTTATTTTTTTATAGTTTTTTTTATTTTAAAGAGAACAAAACCAAGTAAAATAAAACAGGATAAAGCCAATCAAAACAAACCAGTGAAAGTGAAACAGGATCTCAAAACAGGATAGTAGGAAATCAACCATTGCTACCATAATGCCTCTTTTTTTTTTTTTTTTTTTTTTTTTAATTTAAGAGGAAAAAGAGAAAAACACAAAACAAACCAAAGCGGTGTGCTTGCTATCTTCAAAATTGCCATCCATTCCGTCAGACACAATAAAATCAAACAAAACAACGGAATAAAACCAATCAAAATAAATAGTAAAATGGAACAAAAAAAAAAAAAACCAGAACATTATTGGATTTCAGAAATAAGATAGAAGAAAATTCCCCATAGTTGCAATATTGCATATTGTTGTCCTCTAAATAGATGCTCAGACTACTGGTTTTAGGCCTGCAAAGTTAATCAGTTAATATATACATTAAGTTATTTTTGTAGCTCAATTGCTATCAACTCAGTCTGTGTTCTTCTGAGTTAGTGGGTTGCTTAGGGCTTGGGGCATGGGGCTTGGCTCTTGTCTCCCAGCCCACACACCAGCTGGTTCATGGGAAGGGCACTTCCTGTTGCTCCTCCCAGCCCACAGTGAAGGAAGTTTTAAACATATTCTGCTTTCTTTCTTTTTAGTGTCAATGTGAGTTAACACAGATACTTTTTTCTCTTTGTAAAGTGGCCTTCCTCCCTGGAGTCTAGCCCTGGTGTTGATGGTGGGGCTTTTTTTATATGCCTTCTGCCAGGGCAAAGACATTGCAGCAAGAGGACAGGAAGATTTGTGAGCCCAGTGTCTTCTCATAGAATAACATACGTGCTAATGAGAAGTTAGTTGTTTTCTTTCTTTCTTTCTTTCTTTGTGTGTTGTGTGTGTGTGTGTGTGTGTGTGTGTGTGTGTGTGTGTGGTGCTGGGGCTGGAATCTAGCCCCCCACTCCATGGAGTAAAATACGATTGGCCTGTTCTCAACAAGACGTAAATTTACTGTGCTGCAATGCAAAGATGAGTAAACATCAGAATGTTTAAATAGAGTGAGCAATGGAATGCTTTTGTCTGGAGCTCGCTCTTTCTGGAAGGCACATTGCACTTTTTTTTTTTTTGTCTTTTTCCTTTTTATGGACACCAGGGATTGAACTCACGACTGCCTGCTTGGAAAGCAGGAGCTTATGCCGCTGAGCTAAATCCCCAGCCCCCACATTGCACTTTATAAGACACCATGCACTGGTTTGGGAACAGGAGCCCCACCAGGAAGCCTTGCTGTTTGTCTCCCACACTCCTCCCTTCTGGAAGCCTGGCCTGTCTGGAGGTTCTTGTGCACAGGACCCACTGCGTTCTGTTTTAGCAGTGCACAGGCTGTGGGAAACTGTGTGCTGCCTTACAGTTACAGGATTTCATCTCTTCCTGCAGGGAGATGACAGTCTGTCTGCAATCACCTTTGACTCTGACTTGGAGCCGGTGAGTAAAACAGGGGCCCACAGTTCCCATTCAATGCTGCTCAGCGTTGGAAATTTCTCAGTCCCTTAGTTGGATTTGAAAATTTGTGATTATAATTTTGTAAGTTTTTTCCAAAGAGAAATTCTGAGCAAAGTTCATGGAGGCAGATGAGTAGTTCCTGTCTCATGCCTGGTGCTGGCCTGAACCCTGTCCCCAGCCCTGACACAAAAGGGAAAGGGGATTTTGGAAGGGAGAGGTAGGCAGGGCCAAGCGTGGCCTGGCCTGGCAGCAGGTCTGGGGGTTTTAGGAGCTGGCCAAAAGGTCTTGCAGGGAGCAAGGGATTCCCAGGCTGGCCTTTCATGGTCAGCTACAAGCTATGCTGGGTGCCAAAGGACGCTGGCCAATTGCTTTCTCAGTGAGCAAGTGGGGAAAAAAATGGCTCTCCCTGTAGACCTAGCACCAGCACAGCTCAGCTCCACCTTGGGGACTCCCTGCTCCCATCTCTGGGAAGGGTTAGTAAGTGACCTCCCTGAGGGCATGGGTCCAACTGCTGCCTGGTGAAGCAATGACCCAAACCAATCCCATGCAAAAGCTGGCCCACAGAAACAGAAGGTTCCTTGTCCCCACCAGAGGGCGAGCAAGGACCATGACACTACTGCCTCCCTGCCTAGTTTGAAGCAGACAGGGAAAATAGGTTTGGACAGGCTCTGACCTTTCCCCACACCACAGGACTAGTAAGTAGCAGAACCAGATTTGCACCCAGTTCTCCTATAGCATCAGGACTATTGAGCAGTCTTCCACACAGGCTCATTCCTTGCTGGGCTTTTTTTTTTTGAGGGGCTTACAGGTAACTTCCTTACATGGTTGGCTCACACAAAAGTGGCCCAGTGCTCTAGAGAAGCACTGGAAGAAGACCCGAGTTTGCATAAGATCTTCCTTCTAAGGCCCAGAGCCCAGGCTCTGGTGTCTTGTGCCTTGTTGGCCCTGCTCATGTTTGTGACAGTACCGTGGTGCCCTCAATCCCTGGGCCACCTGCACCCGAGCACAGGTCTCAGTGGCCTCAGCTCTCCCTCGCCCCCTCTCTGAACACAGCAGGGCTTCATGCAGGGGATAGCGTGGGACACAGAGAAGGAAGCTCAGCCTGCCTCTCACATCCTTTCTTCTTCCCTTCAGAAGACAAAGCGGAAGGGTTTCCACAGACCTCCTCCCACATCACCAAGTAAGTACGGCAAGGTCTCCCGTGCCCTCTGATGTCCACACTCTCATTCTAAAGTGTTTCCAGTAGCTACCCCTTTCTGCTGTCCTGGAGCCAGTGAAAGCCTTCTCTTGTGGTGCAGGTGGAGTCGGTGAAACACGGTGGCAGCAAGACTTCTTCTGTTTGCCCTATCCAAGGGTATTCTCACACGTTCCTGTGCTGAGGCTCCTGAATAGGGCCTAGCCGCTGCCCTGCCTAGCCTCCCACAAGATACACGGCTTCATGGCTTGTTTGGGGCCGTGTGCTGATACGTGGGCATTCCAAGATGGGCTTTTTGTTCCTTTTGGCATCTCCCAGGTTCATTCTGCTACCATGATTCTTCTCTTCCACATCCTCAGCAGGATGAGGGAAGCTTTGTCCTGTCCTTGGATGGCATAGGACACCATACCCATGGGAGAAGGCTGCCGAGATGGGGTTGATCCAGATACCAGCAAGGCCTCTTGATCCATCTCTGCTGTCACATTGCTCTGAGCACAGCCAGTCTCAGCTGCATGAATGTGTCTTTTCAACATGAAATCCTAGACTGGCTTCCTATTGCTCCTAAGAACCTGCCCTTCCCTGATCTTGCCCTCCATATGTGTGTATTTTACACACATGTCATGTTCTTCAGACATACTTACTGTGTACGTGATGCATGGAGAGAATACATGAGCTGTCTTACTGGCATACTCAGCATGTACTCTGCTGTGAAGATTACATGATATGTATTATGAGTAACATATACCTTTGAAAGAAATCAAGGGCCAGGGCCATAGCTCAGAGTAGCATACTTCCCAGATGCACCAGGCCCTGAGTTCAATCCCCAGTAAGCAAAAGAATAAAGGAAAAGGAAAGTTAAGTTCTTACTGAATGCCAAGCCTTCCAGGTGTTAGATAATCAGTAATAAAATTGTTTTTGCCTCAAGTTTTATAAACAACAGAATTGTTTTTCCTAGGATTTAGACCAACCAGAGCCTGAGCAATGTCAGGACTGTATTGACCCGCCATGCCCACTTCCTAGCTCTCCCCACAGCCCAGGTGCCTGCTCTACCAAGACCCATGCCCCAACCCTGCAACTCTCTGGAGCTCCTTGTAGAGAAGCTCATCAACCCTCCACACTAGTGGCCATGTCTCAGCACACCCGCCCCTCGCTCTCAGGCCAGTCTCAGCTTCTTGAGACTTGTTCAGGATCTGTTTTTGCTGTCTGAATGTCAAGTGTGGGGACATCAGGGCATATATCTGTCCTGTTTCCTGAGCAGCGTCTTGAATGCCTGCTCAGTTCGCATATAGGTTTGCAGTTTCTGAAGCGCTTTGTCCTCCCAGCTGCCCTGGCATCCTGCTTTCTGTTGAATTTTTCAGGCAGCGTGAAACACCAATGTGTGTTTTCTTTTTCTTTCTTCAGCCTGGCTTTTTTCTACTTGGGCACATGTTTTTCTGAAGAATCCTTCCAGCTCACTGATAAATTCACATACATGACAAGAGAAATGTGATTTATGGGCTTTTTTTCTTCCACACTGGGGATTGGACTCATGGCCTTTGCATTAGCTACATCCCCACCCCTTAATTTATTTTCAGATAGGATCTTGCTAAGTGTGCCTAGGCTGGGCTCTAATTTGTGATCCTCCTGCCTCATCCTCCAAGGTTCTGGGATGATAGGTATACACCACAACGCCCAGCTCATGGTCTCTTTTGGGTCACTGATTTACTTTTAAACATTGAGAGTTTGCAAGGCCTATGGGACTCCTGGAGGCCTGGGGTGAGTAAAAGTACACCCCAAGTCCACATGGCATCATTCCCTTCTTCTGAGTTAAATGGGCAACTTTCCATAAATTTTAACAGCATGGAAAAAATTTAACAGTTTAACAATTTAAACATTAGATAAATTTTCTAGACCTTCTACAGATATGAATTTCATTGCTATTTAAAATATGTAAGAATGTTTCATGGGTACCTTCATTTACTGTATAAACTTGTCATCACTTATATAATTAAGAGGTGAAATCCCAGATAAAAGGAATTTTGAAACTTTTCTTCATTTTAATGACAAAATCAAGAATGCTCTGAAAAATAAAATTCTTATCATTTCTTCTAGACATTTTACATACGAAATTTTGAATATTACTGCTATGTCACTATGTAGCACCATGAAAAATATTTATGTTAAAGGATGCAAAATTATACCTTTCATATCTGGAAAAACTGAAGGGGAAATCAAAAAGAATATTTGTAAAATTATTACATATTTTAAATTTCCATTGTTTATAGTAAAAATTAAAAGAGAAATGTAAATGGGTATAGGTTTATATAATTAATCAGTGTATAAAAGAATCATAAAATTGAGCATGGTGGCTTGCACCAGTCCCATTATTTGGTAGGCCAAGGCAGAAAGATCCCTTGATCCCAGGAGCTCAAGGCCAAGCTATGCTATATAGCAATCTAAAAGTTTTTTCCAAGTTAAATAAATAAATATATGTATTAAAAATTTTTGCCAGTGTTTTTTATCTAGAGTTATCATAGCCTTTGAATATTTTGCTTTACCATTTTTGTCTCTAAAGCAGTCTGTTAAGGGGACATTGATGTTTTGCACCTCAAAAACCATGTATTGGCTTTTCAGAGTCACCTTATTTCTCCAAGTCAAAGAAAGTGGCATCCTGGAAATCTGTGAGGACCTCAGGGAACATGCCTCTGAGCAGCAGGATGTCCTTGACCCCGCAGAAGCTGTGGCTGGGAACACCAAAGCAAGGTATGTGGTTGCTCTGCTGAGGAATCTTGCTCCATTGCAGAGTGCTCAGATTGCCTGGGTGGGGCTTGAGGTGACAATTCTAACATTGCCTGTTTGAGTGATGTTGTCTGTAATCTTCTCAAAGCCCCTGAGTACATGTGTCACAGTCTTTGAGCCCCTAGATGGGTATGATCTCCCTGGTTCCACCCCATAACACCGGAACTGCCATTGGCTCAGGCTGTCTTGGTGCTGCACAGTGCGTGTTGGAGCAGCACCTGCAGGAGCCAGCAGTTATGTTTTTAGGAATTTCCTGGGTGTCACACTAGCAACTGATACGGAGAATGGTAAGAATAGTTCACCATAGAAATGGCCAGACATTACGATCAGGGTTATGCTGATGTGTTTTTAAGAGGCAGGGTGAAACATTCACCAGCACACCGTTGACCGACTGCTGGTGTCTCAGGAAGGTTGAGGAGAGATAGCATCTCCCAGTGTGTTTGCTTACCGCCATATTCAAGCTAGGAAGCCTGCCCAGCCCATCAAGCTCCTCACACACCCCAGAGCAGGCAGAGGGCCACCCCTAACAGCACCCCAGCTTCCTGAAGCATGAACACACCACTGTGACAGGAAGAACTCTGGATCGAGCTGGCCTTTGCCAGAGTGAGATTGCTGACTTCACATGTGAGCTCTGTCCCTGGAACATTTGGGAATGTCTTGAGGATAGTGTTTGGTGGAAGTTATTGTGTCCTCCTGGGAAATGACTCATATGACCAGGCTTCCACTGTTTAGGATCTCTGAACTTTATCATACATAAATTTAGTATATATACAGTATTAAAAACAAGTAAAAATTGTAGATAATATTACAAAGCCTGAATCCCACCATAGGAAACTGATATGTTTTACATTTCTGTCCATGTGTTCTGATGGCCTGTCTTAAGGGCCTCTCCAAGGAAGAGTAATTTTATTTGTGTTCACTGCTCCTCCTGAGCTGATTTTACCAGTTAAGAGTTGTATTTTACACTTAAATAGTTTGCATTCCTGACATACTAAAGTCACAGTAAAACTGTTCTTTATTGGAGTGGGTATTAATGCTGTGTAGATTTGTGGTCTTTGATTTTCATTTTGTTTGCTGTGTGAAATGTAAGCATATCACATTTCTTGTGATTCCTTCTTTAGTCCTTTTACCATGGTTAAACTCTGTGCTTATATATCCAGTTTTCTTTGCTTCAGCTTTCTATATATTCCCATTTCTTGTCTGTTTCCCTACTTTCTGGGGCAAGTATCATGATCAGGGTAAAAATGTTGAAAGATATTTTTCCTCTTTTATTCTTTTTTTAAAAGAATAGTTTTATTAACTTCTATGTTTTCTTTAAGGCATAGCCAGAAATTCTTTTTCTTTTCAATGGTCTCCTAAGGGGTTTATGTATCATCCTCTAGGTCACGTCCCTGGGACTGCTGTCTACAGAGAGAAAGAAGACATGTATGATGAGATTATTGAGTTGAAGAAGGTAATGTTCTATCTGCTCTTTGCGACTTAGCAGCAGTAACCTTCCAGAGCAGTGGGTTGCAAAATCAGTCTCAGGGTAGCAATACCCTTCTGTAACAGTGGACTGCACATGGGTATCAGTTCTGGGAGAGATCTGCATTGAATGGCCTGAGCATTGTCACACCAGAGCCTATGCCCTAACACCATACCTCAGGATCCGGGCTGCCCTAGCTACGTGAAGCCCTGTTACACAAAAGTCAACAGAGTTTTAGGCAGCACCAGCTATATGCAATCACCAAAGTTTAAATTCTGTGCTCTCCACAAGTAGGACAGAGAGGACTAAATAAGAGTTTGAGTCACTTCAGAGTCCCTATGTCCTGGCATCTGGTGGCATGATAAGAGCTTTGGTACAGGATCATAGGCTTCTGTTCATGTTATCACAACATTCCACACACACCTGTCCTGTCTAACTCCTCAGGAGCTCCATGCGATGGATAGGCCGACTGGTACAGCTGTCTTCTGTACTTGAGATTTAGGGAGGTTAGTCTGTCCCAGGTTTAACCAGCAGCAGACCCAGCTTTCGGTCATTGTCTTCTAAGGCCAGTGCTCTCTTCCAGAGACACACTAGGGTGTAATTGGCATTGAGAAACATCTTGGGCACTGCTGTTATCACACTGGCTTGTTCTTTTTTCCCTTCTCTTTCCTTCCTTTCCTTTTCCTTCCCTTCCCTTTTCTTCTTTCTTTCTGTACTGGGAACTAAATCCAGAGCTTCACAATGAACTGTAGTACATCCCCAACCCTTTTTCTTTTATTTTGAGAGGTCTCGCTAAGTTGCCTAGCGTGGGCTCAAACTTATGATTCTCCAGCCTCAGCCTCTAAAATTCTGTGAGTGCAGCTGTGTACCACCACACCCAGCTTCACACTTCATATGTATATGTAATTTGTACCCCTGGAAAAATTATCTGATTCCTGACCCCATAGTTTTAGTCTGCTTATAGACCTGCCATCTACCCACTTGAGCTGCCTCTGCAGGACTGTTCAGGCAGGCACCAGAGCATAAGCTGGGCCTTGGCCACCAGCAGGCCCAGGCTTGGCAAGGAGGCTGGAAGCACCCAACCTGGTGAGCAGCACAGTCCAGGTAGGCTGTCATGAGAAGGCTGCCCGTGAGAGCCCTGAGGGATGCTAGGGAGGACGCGCGTACCCTGTCCTTAGTGTTTCAGCAGAGGGTGGTGTGTTCGTCTGGGCATCATAGCAACCATTTCCTTTTGGTAAAAGACTGTACCAAGTGAACCCTGAAAGCCCCCAAACTACTCATCACTATAACAGTACTCCTGAGAGGAATTCTCCAGAAACAGATCTTGAGGAAAATAGTGTTGACCCTTTACACTTGCCACTGTCAGTCTCTGGCTAAAGTCAGCCTGGATTCCAAATTCAGACAAGAGGCTGGGTTTTCAGTACTCTGTTCTTGGGGATCTTGAACATCAGCATTGTTCTATAGGCAAGCATTGCCTCAGTTTCCTGTTTAAAAAGGATTATGGGAGTTGGAGTATACTTACTGATACAGTACTTGCCTAGCATGTGTAAGGCCCTGGGTTCAAACCCTAGCCAAAAAAGAAAAACACACACACACAAACATACCAATTTGATAGGCCTGCTGTGAGGATGCAGTAAAAATAAATCCATGAAAGTGTTTCAGCGCAGTATCTGATATACAGTGATTGGCTTGCCATTTTTTTGTTTTTGCTTTTTTTTTTTTTGAGACAGGGTCTCATGTGTAGCCCAAGCTTGTGGTAATCTTCTTGTCTCTGAAGTGCTAGGATTTCAGGCATGAGCAACCATCCTCGGAAGTACTGGCCAGTTTTTTAAAACTTACTTGAAAAACAGATGCTCCTCATTTAATAACCTACCCATTTAACAACTTTAGGACTTACAGCCTGCATTTGCACTTACAACACAGGAACATGAGCAGCACTGTGGCCTTTTAGTGGCTTCTTCTACAGTACAGTACTATAATTTTTGTTGGTTGTATCGTACAGTACAGTATTATAGTTTTATATTGTTATCCCATGGAGTACTGCATGTAGGAGTTAAGCAAATAAAAAGCAAAGTCATCAAGTTGGAGTTTCCTTTGGCCCTTTCTTTTGTTCTGAATATTGTAATGTACATACCGTATACAGTTCCTCATTTAGCGGCCAATCCAGTTAATGACCTAATCGCAGGACCATAACTTGGTCATTAAACAAGGGATATCTGCAATTGGATTCAAGAACATTGTGAAGGTGGTATAGAGGGGTCCTGGGTACCATTCAGCCCACTTGCTTCAGTGCACAGTGTCACCTTGGTATAATGCGTGTCCTTGGTACAGTGCGTGCATGTAGTTCTGTCACAGCACAGTGTAGATTTGCATGCCATCATGCTGTGGGAGCACAGCTGCCCAACAGCCCACAGAGGTCCCTCACCCTCCTCCACCCTTCTCAGTGTCCCTGCCCCGGCCACCATGAGCTGTTCCTTGTTTCTGTGGCCTTTCTCTAATGTAGAACTGGGATCACAAAGCATTTGACCTCTTCAGACTGCTGTCCCCTCAGTGCAGCCCTGCAGGCCCCTGGAAGTGCTAGTGGGCTGATGTTCCTTTCCAGGTGGCATGACCCTCCCTGCATCCTTCCCATAGAGACAGGCTGGACATTATTATATATTTTCATTTTCCCTCAGGTCAGTGTATTTTTTAAGACTTTCTCTAGAAACTCCCTGAGATATGCTTGGATTGTTTGAAGTTGTGTAGTTTAGTTTCCAGTGTTTGGAGGTTTTCTGTGGTTTTTGTGTCATAGTCTTCAGTTTGAGTCTTTCATGGCCATAGAACACTGTTTCATTCTCCTGCACATACAAGGCTGCCTCCTGGTTCCGATGTGACCCAGCTGTACAAATGCTGGGTCCCTATTGGTGGCTACGGTGGTGGACAGTGCTAGGAGCCCTCCTCTGGCCTTGCTGATGTTGTCCCATTTTTTTTTGTTTGTTTTATTTTGTTTTTTGTCTTTTTAAGACACAGTTTTGCTATGCAGTTCAGGCTGGCCTTGAACTCACTTTATAGCCCCACTGGCCTTGAACTCACAGTGATTGTTTGCCTCAGCCTCTTGAGTGCTGGGAGTACAGGGAATGTGCTACCACACCTAGCCACCCCATATTTTATCACCTATAATCATGTACAGGTGATATTCTGAATATTGTAATGTACATACCATATACAATTCCTCATTTAGCCACCAATCCAGTTAATGACCTAATCACAGGACCAATTCAGATTATCTGAATATTCTGACCAATTCAGAATTCCACCTATAATCGTGTGTTTGTCTGTTTCCCTCAGGGGAGATCAGGTTTTGCCCCATGGGCTGCCAGCTTCTAAGAGTCTTGAAGGGGCTCTGTTTCCTGGGTAGATGGATTTTTTTTTAAGTGATATTGGGGATATTTTCAGGGCCTTTACACTGAGCCATTTTTATTTTGAGAAAGGATCTTGCAAAATTGCTAAGTTGCCCAGACGGAGCTCAAACTTGTGATCTTCCTGCCTCAGCCTTCCAGAGTGCTAGGATTACATGGGTAGCCCACTGTGCCTTGCTGAGGATGGATTTTTTTAAAAAACATTATATAATATTCCTCCCTCTGATACCTTCCTGTTCCCCAAAATTCACATCATCTGATAGTGAGTTACCCATTCCCACTTTATTTTAATTAATGTTTACATGGTATGTCTTTTTCCATTCTGTTCCTTTCAACATACCCTTTCATTATGTTGAAAGAAGTTTCTTATATATAGCAGGTATCTACTTTGTCAATCTTTTAAGTGGTTTGTTTAGATCATTTGTAAACAATATAATTACTGATATATTAGGATATGTTTCTTCCTGCATTTCTTTTTCTGCCTCCTGTGACTTGGGCAATTTTTAGAATTCCATTTTTGTTTAGCTTAAGTGTCTCTCAGTGTATCTCTTTGTACAAGATGATCAAAAATTAAGGTGTGAATAAGGACTTCTGCAATTGCTTCAGAAAGTGACAAGAATGAGAATAAGTGTAGATGTAGTGAGTAAGGAATATTTTGAAAGGTATTAATAGAAATATGTCTTTTACTGTATTAATTTTTAAATTTTAAACATCCACCATATTTTTCAATTGTACCTCATACATGGACATATGCGAGTGATCCTCTTCTTCTCCAGTCATTACACACGCAGAAAAGTGATGTGGATCTAATGAGAACAAAACTCCGCCGCATGGAAGAGGAAAATAACAGGAAGGACCGGCAGATAGAACAGCTCTTGGATCCAGGACGAGTAAGCACCTGACCCCAAGTGGGCTCCAGCCTGTGGGTTCCCACGGTGGCAGGGAGTGGGGCTGAACCACGTGGCCCTTACGCCTTGATCTGCTCCCACAGGGCCCAGATTTTGTTCGTACTCTGGCAGAGAAAAGGCCTGACACCGGTTGGGTGAGTGGTCTCCAGCTCCAGAAAACCCTCCTTAGATTGTAGTTGGAGACAGCCACACACTGAAGAGATGCCACCTTCCCAGAGCACTTGCATGGAAGGATAGGAAAGAAACGAGCATAGAACTTTCTAGAAACATCCTCCACAAAGCTCTGGGGAATCTCAGAAAAATGCTTCAGGCTTGGTCAAGGCACATGGAATAGGGCCAGTAGGCTTACCATGCAGGCCAGAAAATATACTGTAGAGAAAAGAGTCACATGCTCATCTTCCTATCATGTCCCATGCTTTCTAAGACAATTCACAGAAACCAAACAGCAGTAGAACAGAGCCCTTAAAATAGATGTAAACACCTCTCACTTGTTGCATAATGATAATATTAAACAAATTGAATGAAACAGAATGAGGGGAATTGGAGCCATTCTTTGGTTAATGTTACAATGTGTCACAAAGCTAAAACTGGAATGGTTAAAATTTTGAGATCATTGAGTACAAAAGAACAATGATGTGATTAATTAATTTGGTAACATAAAATTAAAATTTGTGTAAAAACCCAGACTAAGGTAGAAACAAACAATATAATGAGTGGATGGGAGGATATTATTGAGCAATACATTGTTTTCTACCCCCCAGAATATTGCAAAATGCTCTATATAAATCTCCAGGAAACACAAGTATGTTCTGAAATACAATAGTATATACATCACATAGAAATATCATCTATTTGATATAAATCATTAAAGTCTAGTTCTGTGGATAGATAGCACAGATGCATACTTAATTCATAAATGATTGTGAATTAATGTTTCACAAGAAAAAATTTTTTATAACAGCAAATTGTTACATAGTGATTCATTCTGCACATGTACATGACTTAGTTTGATTTTTTGTAATAGACTCCAATCCCCATTTTTTAAAATTAGGAAACTGAGGCAAGTGGTTTTCCTGACCTATGGGATGGTATCTCTCGACCCTGTCATCCCACTAGCACCACATACTTGAGGGGAGAAATGACTTAAAATTACTCTGAATGAAGCCTCACACCATAAAGTAGCACATGATCAAAGCCAGCATTGGCAGCCCTGAAGAAACTGGGTGCACTCTGAGCTCAGATGCTGCAACTGCCTAGTGGTCTGTATTGTGCCTGCCCCGTCTAGCACAGCTTCTTGTCAGGACTGTCTCTCAGGAATGTAGTCCAGTATGATTTGCACAAGGACATTTCTCTCTGCCCAAGTTGGGGAAATTTGAGGAGAAAATATATTCACATCTTACTAAATTAAAATCTAGCTGGAAGGCCAGGGATTTAGCTCAGTGGCCTAAGTGCCTGCCTGGCAAGCACAAGGTCATAAGTTCCATCCCCAGTACCAAAAAAAAAAAAAAAAAAAAAAAAAATTTGGTTGGATGCACATGTATCCTGGGTGGCAAGAAAATCACAAGTTTGCATCCAGCCTAAGCAATTTAGCAATTGAGATCCTCAAAATCAAAAATAGGAAAGGCCTGTAGATACAGCTCAATATTGCCCCCCAAAATTGTATATTCAAAAGAAAAGGATATTCTTTAAGGAACAGAAGGGTGTGTGTGGTCTTCCAAAAGGAAGCAGAGAAGGAAAAAATGAGGACAGTGGGGTGAGGAAGTTCTATCCTTCCCGGGAGGGGGGCTCTGCAGGCCCTTCCAGGCCTCTGTTGTGTCAGCCCTGACTCCAGGTGGAGACTGAGCTGCCCTGGGGTGGGGGACAGTGAAGGTCAGTGGTTTATTTCTAGGATTATGATGGGGTTCCCTTATCTAAAACAAGTGACACCAGGTCCTGCCTGTTCTCCTGAGAGCCTGCCTGCCTTGGGAGTGCTGTTGGTCACTGCCCTCCTGTCCCAGCGGGGGCATCCTGCTTCCCTTGCCCCTCACTCAGCCTCATGCAGGAAGTGAATAAGTTCCAGCCCCTTAATCATCTCCAGGCCTGTGACCTGAAAGAGAAGGCAGCGAGCGGCTAAGGAGGGAACATCGCGGGCCGTGGGGCTGGGCACAGGTGGCTGAGGTGGCAGCCTTCTGTGATAGGTCATCAACGGGCTGAGACAGAGGATCTTCCGGCTGGAGCAGCAGTGCAAGGAGAAGGACAGTACCATCAAGTACGGAGCTACTGCGGTGGTCTCAGCGGGAGGGTTCGGGCCCAGGCCAGCTGGGATGGGCCACTCCTCCCAGTTAACATTCCGCTTTCTGTGCTGGTGCTTGTCCTGCCTCCGCTTCTGCCAGCCAACCTCTGTCCACAGTGTCCATGTGCTACCTATGGGAAGGGAAGTGTTACCTAGCTGTCTGACTCTGTCTCTCCTATTTTTCTTTTTAATCTGCATTTCCTCTAAATGTCTATTAGGGAATAGTATTTCCCATCACATTTTTCTTGTTATATTTAAGAAATATTTTTTCCCTTGGTAGTCCAAAGGCCACTTTGTTTTTCCAATGTGAATTTTCTCTATCTTGGTGCAAGCCCTTGATACCCAGACTTTTCTCCTGGCTGCCTCTCATATGGTTTTGGTGATGTTCCCTGAACTTTCCCTGTCTGTCTCTGTACCTATCTCCTTCGTGGAAGGGGATAATCATGCATAGCTGTACTTAAGTTTATTTAAGAAAAATTTGTCTGTGCCTCATATGTCTTACACAGTAGTTCCCCTTCCCATTTGTTTCTTGCTTAAATTTGGCAACTTAAAACATTTATGGTTATTTGCTAATTCATTGAGTGTTTTAAAATGCTGAGCTCTTCTTTCCTCAGTACCTCTTGCCTGAAGCCTATGATAGCTGAGAACAAGGTGACACAGTGACAGGTTGAAGGGAAGCAGTGATTCACTTCATGAGCTAGTTAGTCGCCTCACCTGTTCCCCAAAGATGGTATGTTTGCTCTAAGCCTTGAGATTGGAGCTGTACCATTAATCCAAGTTTTTAAAAGTAAGGTCTTTGGAAAAGAACATCTTTATGGAGCTTTAGAAAATGACTGATCTCACCCAAAAGGGTGTGAGGAATCCCATCAGTCTGGAAACAAGCCATTCATTCAAGGCCAGTGCCAACAGAGGGCTGACTCAGGCCAGTCCTTTCTCTCTGGGTACTATTCCAAAGCCATCCCTGTTTGGCCATTTGGGGAATCGTGCTTTCCGTGGTTCTTCCCTGAGTATGTTGACATTGCCTTGCTGATTCTGAACCTGCATCCCCAGCAAACTGCAGATGGACATGAAGACCACCAACCTGGAGGAGATGAGGATTGCCATGGAGACCTACTACGAGGAGGTGTGTGTGGTGGGGCAGATGGTGGGGGCATGGGAGGCGACCTTGCTGCTGCCCAGGGTTGAACTGAGGCCAGTGCTGGCCCACACCAGTGTTCTTGGTCAGCTTGATGTGAAAAGGAGATGCTGCAGTATCTTCTTCTCCTGCCACAGGGCAGGCATCAGGACTCTGCCCACAGCTCTCAGGCAAGACTACTGGCGTGTTCGTTTATATCTTTAATGCTTTCTAATTTAATACTTGCAGATCCATCGTCTCCAGACTCTCTTGGCAAGTTCTGAAACCGCAGGAAAGAAGTATGCTACTGTTTGGTACCATGTTGTCCTTGTGTTGTTGAGTGATCTGAAATCATGGTACCCTTCTTCCACTTGGGAAGGGAATTGCCTGCTCTTATGTGGCAGCAGAGCCAGCACCACACCTGTGTGTTGATGGGTGGAGTCTTATTTGCACTCTGGTGTTCACCCTGAGCCCTAATAACTGCCACACACTCAGTACAGCGTGCTTAGTTACCCCTGCTCCACAGCCACCTCCAGCTCAGGACTGGAAATGCTGGCTTTCAACCAAGATCTACATTACTAGAAAGATATGTGCTACAAATCCATTTTGCCACTTAAACTTTTCCCAATCAAGTTTGTTAGTAGCATCAAGGTTCTTATCACATAGATTCCTCCATCCTTTTCCAAATAATTTAATGTAACAGGCTTTCATTATGTTATGGCAGGATGGTCCCCCACTGTAGACATGGCCAGGCCTCTGGTCTCTGCAGCAGGCTGCTAACACGGGGTCCACACTGCCTGGCATGGTCTTTTTCCCTTTATCCTTCATGACTTAACACAAGTTGGAAAGAGCCAGATAGTAAATATGGTTGGGCCTCATTTGCTCAAATAAAGACTTTAAATGATGCCTGTAGGAATGACAGGTCTGTCTGAGCAACTCAAGGGACAGAACTGGCATTTCCTGTGGATAGGGAGGAGGGTTTGGGGAAGCCTGGATTGTAATGGGGGTGAAGGGCTAGGTGGGCAGAGGCCTGGGCTGCAGAGCTGGACATGCTTGTCATCTGTGGATACTGAGTTGGTGATGCTGGACCACTACTCCTGGGGCTGGAGGCTTAGGCCCCTCCAAGCCTCTGACCATGTTTTTTCCATAATTAGAACATCTGATTCTGTGTTTTTCTGTTTAAAGATGTTGAAGGCAGATGTTTGATTCATTAACGTTAAACTCCTTGCTGCAGTGCTGTCTCATGCCTGAGCCAGTCTCACCTGACAGACACACTGTCCCTGGGCCACATCATAGCATGGGAACACTGCACGGTGCTTCAGTCCTGTACTATGAGCTGCTTTACTTTGGAGGAGGGAAATCAGGTTGCAGGGGAGAAAGAATGTGAGAGAAACTTTCCTGAGGAGGTAGAAATAGGTAGTTATTTCGTTCTTTCATTTCTGGTGCTGGGATCAAACCCAAGCCCTTGAACATGCTAGGCAAGAGCTTTGCTACTGAGCTACATCTCCAGCCCCAACAGGCTTCAAAGGCTTCTTTTTGGGGGGAGGAAGGGGTGCCGGAGATCGAATTCACAACCTTGCGTTTGCCAAACAGGCACTTATGCTACTGAGGTAAACCCCTGGCTGGGGCTGCTTTAAACTGTAACATCACCAACACAAAGCACAAACATGGAAAACAGGGTCTTTTTGCACTAAGTAGACTACAGAAAGGACTTGTGTTTAGACTCAGAGCCCAAGCCAGAAGACCGCATGGTGTTGTGTGGCCTCAGCACCCAGAGGTACACATGTGGGGACTCAGATTTCAGCCCTCTGTGCCTACTTTGACACCCCAGCACCCTTGAGTGTTGATTTGGGGTCTACAGATATATATATATATATATATTTTTTTTTTGTACCAGGGATTGAATTTATGACCTCGAGCTTGCCAGGAGAGCGCTTGTGCTGCTGAGCTAAACTCCCTGCCCATTTACAGATAAATCTTAAGGAGTTGGCAAATTGATAAATATGTACTGTTCTCTAGATAATGAAGACTATCTGTATTTTAGACTTAATAGAATAAGAGGCACAATCAAAGCTATTACACCAGTATTTATATTACAAAAGAAAAATAAATGCATAAAATTTTAGTGATGGAATTTAAAACATGATATTAATAACTGAATACTACATTTTTCTATATGGGTTTCCAATAAGAATAGAATCTTATTGACTTGCTGACTTGGTGTTCAGAGTGTTCATAGCCAGATTCACCTGTACCTTGGTTGAAGCTTTCAGTTAGCCAATGTAGAAATCTCTAGTTCAGCTCTTTATGGGTGTTTCCAGGCCTCTGGTGGAGAAGAAAGTGGGTGTGAAGAGGCAGAAGAAGATGAGCAGTGCCCTCCTTAACCTGTCCCGGAGCGTTCAGGAGCTGACTGAAGAGAACCAGAGCTTGAAGGAGGACCTGGACCGTGTGCTCAGCAACTCCCCAACTATCACCAGAGTGAAAGGTATCTTCCCCAGAAAAACTGCGGGAAGGCCCAGAGTGGCTGCCCCGGGGCAGTCCTGGGCAGGCTCTTTGAGCCAGTGCAGTGGCTGTGTCAGCCACCCTCCATTCCCTGCACCTACAAACCCCTGAGTTCCCATGCTTCACAGCCAACTGTCCCGTTAGGCAACATTCCATTAGCAGTGATTCCCAAGTGTAGCAAATGTAACTGGCACCATCACCGTTGCCTATAGATTGGCTCTAGGCCCTGGAGCTATATAGCAAGGGATGAAAATTCTGATCTGCATGGGAGGCACTGCTGGGGGGTGGGAGGACAGGGTTAGTAAGTCCCCCAGGGAAGGGTGGGGAAGGGCACCAGTGGGGTTCTGGTGGGGTTCTGCCATAGTCAGGGCAGGGGGAGACAGACCTCCTCGAGTGTTCAAAGCTGGTCATGACCTACAAGAGGCGACAGCCAGCCTGCAGGCACCTGGGGTCACTAGGGAAACAGCAAGTGTAGAAGCCTAGAGCAGCGGCCAGTGTGGTTCCTCAGGTCACCCGTGGAAGTGGTGCTGGCTGGAGAACAGCTGAGTAGGGCCTTGGCTCCATTGGGGACAGCATGGGCAGAAAGCAAGTGCTACTGTGACAAGGGTAAGGATGGGAGAAGAGGTCAAGTTGTGGTGCACCTTAAAGGCAGAACCTTTGGAAAGAGAGACTGTGGATAGCCTGCAAGAGAGGGGCCCTCTGGTGCCAAGGTCTTCTGTCTGAACAATTCAAAGGACAGAGTTGGTATTTCCTGAGGATGGGGGAGGGACAGGGTGACCTGAATGAGTGGAGGGGCAGATGGGCAGAGGCGTGGGCTGTGGAGCTGGATGTGCTGGAACCCAGTGAGGTTGTGTGTGTGACCAGGAAAGGCACAGGGAATCCAAGCCCAGGAGCATGCAGAAAGTTGAGGGGTAAGGGTTAGCCCACAGAGCAAAGTGGACAGTGGACAGTGAGGGATGTAAGAGTCAGGTGAAGGCCAGAATTAAGGACAGATAAACAGACTGTGGATTTGGCAAAATAGTCACCTGTGATATTGATAGCAATAGAAAATGTTCTGATGAGGTCAAAACTTGATTGGAGTAAAATCAGGGACATCAGTGTCAGTAACTTTATAGCCAAAGAGAATAGATAAATCACCTAGTGCTGCAGAAACCCGTTAGGTATCAAGGGTCCAGCATGGCCTTTCGGCTTTGCTGACAGCTTGAACAGGGGGACACTTTTTAAGGTTGGCTGTGAGAAGGGTGATCTGGGCCACAGGGGGCCCTCCAGATGGGCACTGTGCAGACCTGTTGCTTTCCTTAGGTTATGTGGACTGGAGCAAGCCCCGCCTACTGAGACGCATTGCAGAGCTAGAAAAAGTAAGTGGGTGTCTTCTTCACCTGTCCCCTAGGACTTGCCTGTCTGATCTGGTTGGGGACACACTCAGAGTGACATGGGCATGCTGCACAGATGGATAGCAGCTGTCCAGCAGATGGCACAAAGTGCACCCCTAGAAGAGTAGGCTCCTCTAAGTCTGGACAAGCCCCAAGGGGTATGTTATTCACATCCCCACTTAATGGATAGCCAGGTCTTAGTCACATAGTACACATCGTGGGGCTTCTGTATGTATCTGTAGGTGGCTCTGCATGACCCTGATTGTTCACTGCCCAGACTCCTCCATGCTCATGTAATGTGGAATTCACAGGAAGCTTGTCCTCTCACGCTCTGCTGACCTTAGTATTTGGGGAGTTAGTGTTTCCTTCTGTCCCAAGGTGGAATGGGACCTTTAGTCCTGCTGGAACTGGTCCTGCTGGAACAGGTCCTTCTGGTCCGAACTAGACCAGCTCTCTTTTAGCAAAGCAGAGCAAGCATTAAGGGAAGATATTTCGAATAAGTTTACTTATTTACAAAGTATAAAACAAAAGAGGTTTCTGTACGCAGTGTGTATTTAACCATTAAAGTTCTCTGGGTACGACAGGAGGCCTGAACAGGTCCAGAAGTCCCCTGAGAGAGCTGCTCCAGCCAGTTACTCTGCTTGCAGACAGGGAATAGTTTAAGGTAGACAGCATGAGGGTTTGACATTTCCGAAGCTCTAGAGAACTAAGAGCAAACAAACAGAGCTGCTGTGCGTGCGTCCACCTGGCCCCGCCCCTGCTTTCTGCTGTGTTGCTGGCTCCTTTGCCCTGCCCTGTCCCCTTGGCCTGGGTCTCACTCCCACTTCCAATTCCACACACTCCTGGGACTCATGCCCATGCAGTAGACTGTGCCACTGACTTAGGTCGTATGGCAAAGTGCTCCCAAGGCTGCAGGCTAGTTTCCCAGGCTGTTCTGGGTTTCACAAAGAGAATATAAAACAAAAATAACATCTAACAAATGCCTGTGTTGCCTCTAGAAACTGAATTCGGTAGAGAGCTCAAAACCACATGATTCAGAGCTGGTCAAGTCAAATCCCAATGACACAGCACCCAAGCGCCTGGGATGGAATGGACAGGAGGAGCAAGAGCACCTTCGGGAGGCAGTGAAGAATCTCAGGGGAGAGCGGAAGGAGCTACAGGCCCAGCTGCTGGAAAAAGAGTAGGTGCCTAGGTGCTGCTGTGCCCAGGGCTGAACTGCCCTCAGTGTGAGGAAATGCTTGGTAAACACTGCATAAACGCTTCACAGGACTGTATGAGATGTGATTGAAAAATACAACGTTTTTAAAATCTTTCCAAATGTGTTATAAAAGACACATTGCTGTGAATCCCCCTCAAAATCCTCCTCCTCCTATTTAAACACACCTGTCCTATCATTCTTGCACAGTTGTGGAAGTCCTCTTTTGTGTCTTTCATCAAGGCTGCTTTGATGTCCTGAATGGATTCAAGATCTTTGCCTTTTGACCATTTTCACTTTTGGGAAGTCTCACGTGCCACATGTGGTGAATAAGGTAGGTGAGGGTACGCTGTCGTACTTTTATGAGCCTGCCTTCCCACTGGATGGCCTTTAGCAGCAGTTTGACCGCATTTTTGACCACACCTCTTGAAGACACTCAAGAAAGAAGACTTCCAGAACTGCTTCAGAAAGTAGCAAGAATAATAGAAAAAGCATATTCAAAGCAATGGGGAGGACTTCCAGGGGGATTCATAGCTATGTCTTTTACTGTATCAAATATTTTTAGAATTTAAACATCCACTCTTTCATTGCTTCCTACACACTTGTTAGATGTATGTTGTGGAATAAAAGCTGCTGTAGTGGTGAAAAGAAGACACTAAGTGGCCATATTCCATCATTAAAAGGGAGGGGTAGCTGGAAGAGTACCACGGAAATCTCTACCCACAGTTCCAGAGAGATTTCCAGATTGTTTAAGGGAGAATTACTGCCATGAATTTGTCTAAAATCAATTAGATATTAGGCAGAGTGGCCTTGACATTTAGTAATATATTGATGACATGATCTGTACATTGAATGAGACATAAATGATGTGAAATGCTTAGCGCAACCCGAAGCTGGAGGCAGAGGCTCACTGTGTGATCTGTAGCTTCATGATCTGTTAGCAACTTAGCACAGGACCTGGCACCTGCTTGCTTATGGTTTCTCTCATCAGACCTCTGTCATAAGCTAACCCACCCATCCTCTGGGATGGTGTTTAATCTCAGGTCTGCAAGACCACAGTGACCTTGCTACTCACGGTGGTCTGCAAAGGCAGGAGCACCAGCCCACTCAGGAGCTGATTGAGGATGAGGGACCGCAGGGGCCATCAGACCTTCTGAATTGCCCCCTGAATCACATGTCTCTAGCTGATGTGTATGCACATGAGGGCTCCTGGCTTCCCCGTGCCCACTGCATTCTCTGGAGCCTCTGTCCCCAGCAGAAGCAAGTCCCTGTACACTCTTGACTCCAGCCTGCAGTGGCAGTCCCCAGTGCAGTCACATGAACTGATAGGTTCTTTGGAAAACTATTTCATGGCATTTTTATTTTTTATTTTTTATTTTTTTTGTCTTTTTCCTTTTTATTGGTACCGGGGATTGAACTCACGACTGCCTGCTTGCAAGGCAGGTGCTTATGCCGCTGAGCTAAATCCCCAGCCCCTTCATGGCATTTTTAAAATCAAGATACTCATTTTGAAACATACGCAACTCCTGAAATTATCTGTTAAGCTATCATATGATCTAATAGCTACAACATATGGAGTCCTTGCTGTGTGATAGGCACTCTGCTACTCATTTCAAGGACTGTCTAGTTTCCTGTGGGCATTAGCAGGGCCTTGAAAACCTGGGCCACATAGACAGTAGGCAGCAAATCTGCATTTGTAGCCACTGTGCCATTGTGGCACATGAGGACTGAGCAGGAGATACCTGGGCAGCCCCTTTGTGCTCAGCACTGGCAGCACCCCAGCCTGGGCTCAGATGTAGCACCTGCAGGAGTGACATGTCACTGTCACTGTGTCACTGTGTTCACATCTTTACCCACAACTGTGAGACCACAGGCAAGACCTTGCTGCTTTTATACCCGAGCCCTGACAGGTCCTCATACACAGCAGCATCTGTGTGCAGTGAGGACCTTGGGGCTACTTGTGCAATATGTTCACCCTGTCCACTGTGCTAAGGAAGTCAACCACTGTTGTGTTCTGAAATGTTTTCCTGCCCTGGCAATCTCTGATTCTAACGGTAAGGAAATGTCTGGTTCTGTCATTCAGTAAGGAAGTGAGGCAGCTGCTGCAGGCCAATGCCAAGTTGGAGGAGGAGCTGGAGAGTGCAAGGGAAGGTCAGAAGCAGCAGCAGGAACGAGAGCAGTCCCTAAAGTGAGTAACAAGCAGCAGAGGAGCCACAGAACTCAAACCCGCTCTGCCTCCTAGCCACCCTCCCCATAGGTCCCTGGCGTAGTTTCAAGAGAGTGTTTGGTAGAGACCACACCTCTTCCTGAGATCTTTCAGTGTGTTCTTCCGCCTCTGGGATACAGTGCCAAGCGCTGGGAGAAAGCTCTTTGCTATAAGCCGGTATTTGCTTCTGTGGCAAACCATCATGGCCACCTCCACCACCTGTGCCCAGTGCTCCTGCTCCACCACGCACTCCCCTCAGCAGCCTCAGGACCACGTTGCTTCACACTTCCTTTGTGATAGCAGCAGTCACCAGAGCCAGGAAGGGCAGCTCCTCCGTGTCCATCCCTAGAGAATGGATGAGCAGCCTGAGGTCACCCTCACAAACAACAAGCCAATGCTGATGCCCTGAGCTCAAGGAAAGAGGCCAGGTGGGCCTCACAGCCTGGACCATGAGCAGGATGCGTGCAGAGCGGGCAAATCGGAGGACTGGTTGGGGAAAAGAAGAGGGGCGCTGGAGAGTAGGGCTGTTCAGGGATTCCCATCATTATAAACACTGTAGCGACCACCTAATTCCACATTTTGAAATAGTAGTTTCGTTTTTGTCTTTTTGAGCTGTGAAGGATCAAATCCAGGGCCTCACGCATGCTAGGCAGATGCTTTATCCCTGTACCACGCCTCGGGTTAAGATAATGATTTTATGTTGTAAATTTTAGCTCACCTCATGTTTTAAAACATGAAAAGAAATCTGAACAGAAATATTTGGTGCTCAAAAAGTAAGATACAGGGCCAGGGATTTAACTCAGCAGCATAAACACCTGTCTGGTGAGTGTGAGGTCACGAGTTCAATCCCCGCTACCAAAAAAGAAAAACAGAAAACTAAGATACAGATAATTAGAATGAATAGAAAACATTTTATTTTCATTTCTGGAGAATCATGACTGAATTGTGTCAGAGGCTACAATTAAAGTAAATCAGCAATGTATAGAAGTAAATGGTTTTTACTTTGGGATCCTTAGTAAGGCCTTATGTTACAGTTCCCTCCACTCCTGTGGAAGGCTGAGGCATGGTTCCATGGAGGGACATGTGTCCGGCAGCTGAGGGCCTGGGTTCCATCCTAGCAGCAGAAAAGCCCACACGATACCTCCATCATTTTGTATAATGCCTTTTTTTTGTTTGGTTGGTTGTTTTATCTCAGTGCTAGGAATTGAACGCAAGATCTTGCACATGCTATATACAGTGACTATTTTTGTGGGGCTCTGACAACATGTGCAGCGTAGTGCTGGCCCTGGGATCCTCAGCACCCCCTCTTGGGGGCACATTACAGAGCACTGTCTTGCAGCAGATTGCTGGTATCCCTGGGAGGTGGGCCTCTCCACAGCCTATTCAATGTCTGTCTGCTTGGGGCTCCCCATCTCACCACCTGAGGTCCATTCCTCACCTGGTGACAAGCAAGGTGTCATCTTTCCACTTTGCATTTTAGAGAGGAAATCCAAACACTTATCAGCAAGTGCCAAGAGCTGGAAAAATCTAAGAAAGAAGAGAAAAATGCAGGCACTTGTGCCTTACACTTGACACATGAGGTATGTGTGGCCTCTCCTGTCTGGTATAGTGCTCTTGACCCGAAGGTGACAGCCTACGCTCTCATTATCAACATAGCCCATTTCTGGCCCATCTGGAGCTGTTGACTGGCTTCCCAGGTGGTATCAGGTGGTACATCTCCCCTATGCTGTCTGCCCTGGAGGTCGGGGGCCAGCGGGGAAGGAGTAGAAACCTACAGAGGCCCCACACCCTTGCAGGGTGAACGGGTGTTCCTGGGTGGAGCAGGGTGGTCTCCTGTGGGCCTGTCCACAGCCTGTAGCCTGTGTGATATAGAAGAACTATTTGGTTAGGACCTGGAAGTTGCCTCTCCTCTCCTCTGTGTAGGTGGATGCCATGGGAGGCTGCTGCCACTGAGATGTGAGGCCTTGTGGCCACAAGGGTCCTCTGGCCCTTCTCTGTCCCAGGCGTCCCTGATGGCCCAGTGTTGCCTACGCTTGGACTTCTGTTTAATGCCTCCCCACAAATCTGTCTTCTAATGAATGGACTCTTCAGATGGCAGGTGTGGTCTGACATCTCTACAAATGAAAGCGAATAACTTGGCTCCTTAAATCCTGTGGCTACTGTTTGCCCCAAGAGGGCTGTCACACAAGCATGCTATAGGTAAAATCAGTAAGGCCTGGAAGGGTCAATGAGCACACATGACATGGTGATTGGCCCTTATAAGAGCTCTTATGACCCCTTCCCTAAGACCTCCTCCTGCTGCCCATGGTCTGAGTGGACCTGCACTGAGCCCAACATGTGATATGTTGCTTCAGAAGGTTCTGTCATTCAGCAACAGGGGAGGACAAAGGAAGTTACCCTTGGCCTCCAGAACATGGGCCCATGGACTGTGGGGCCAAGTCCCCTGCAAGAGCTGGACATATAAGAGGGTTTTGTCTTAAATCTGGACAGCCTTCATCTTCCAAGGCTGGCTTACTTAGCTGGATCCTAAGTTGAAGGTATCTTTGTTCAAGTCTTACCCAAGAGTGAAAGAAAAACCAAAGGTGAGGGAATTTGGAAAAGCTGGTCTCACAATTTGAGTTACAAATTGAAACAGACCATAGCACTGCAGACTGGGGGAAAGCTTGTGGTCTCCGTGTGTGGGCAAGCAACAGCCATGTGCCTGGCTGGCAGGCGTGAATACCTCCCTCTCAGTTCCTTCTGGAAGGTGCTGTCTCTCTCAGGGACTCATATCTTCTCTGCTAGCCCCAAAGGTGCGCTTCTGTAGTGGCTTCTCCAGCATCTTGGGTGCTTTAGGTCAGAGGTCTCATCTCCTGGGCCTTTAGGAACTGAGGTGCTCAGTAGGTAGTGGTTGGCAGGCTGACTGCAGGACCAGTCAAGCTTCTTCTCCATCACAACCTGAGCTCTGCCTCCTGTCAAATCAGGTGCAGCATTAGATTCTCATAGAAGCAAGAACCCTACTGTTAACTACAAGGGATCTAGGTTGTATGCTCCTTCTGAGGAAAGTGTACAATATAATAAGAGAAATAAAGTGTACCACAAGTATAGTATGCTTGAATCATCCCCAAACCACCCTCCAACCCCCACCCCATCTATGGAAAAACTGTCTTCCATGAAACCAACCCCTGATGCCTAAAAGGTTGGGGACCCCTCCTGTAAGCAATGCAGAATCACTGTCCCTGCTCCTAGGGATTTGCCATGTGACATCACTTTTCATCCTGCACATTAGTGTGCACACTGCTGTCCTAGGACACAGCCAGGCAAGCCTCTCCTAGGCCTTCAGTCTTGCCCACCAGCATGCCTGTAGCACTGTGGGTGACAGGCAGGCTTAAGTGTCCTCTCTGGGTCCATATCACTGTCAGGCATTAATGAAAGACTTTTTTTTTTTTTCCAAATGGAATGTTCATAGAGACTGGGGCATCCATAGGGCTTACTGACTTGTTGCCTAGCTGCTTCTGGAAATCCTGACCCTTATCTGGTGCTCAGCAATGAAGACACCTAGGAGTTTCTGCTTATCTTTAAATTTTTCCACTGAAAGTCGTATCCTTTGTGGGGAAAATGTTTTCACATATATCAGGATGGATAAGAAAGACTGCCTGTGGCATCTGCCTGGCTGGTAAGGATTCCTGCCTGTCTTTGGCCCATTCAAAGGGATTTTGCAGACCCACAGAAGAAACCAGGGGGCAAATTTGTCCTGTTGTGTCACCATCTTGATGTGCAGACAGCACAGGTTGTTGCAGCACTGGCTTCCTCATCCCCTAGCTGGGTGCAGATGGGATGTCTGTCCCTGCTAACTCATGTGAGCACCTCAGGTCAGCTCATGGTTTGAGGATCTTTACCGCAGTGTTGGCTGTTTTCAGTGTGAATTTCAGCAACTTGAGGTTTAAATCTCTTCTGACTCAATGCGCACCATGTCAGGAAGACCCATAAAAAGTTACTTTCTCCAGGAGCTATGTCCCTCAGCAATTGCTCCACTTCTCCTACCGAGGCTGCAGGAAATTTTGCTCAATATTTTTATTCTGGCATCTTCTTTATATAAGGCCTTGGGAATTTTTGTTCCTGTACATGACAGGAGCTCAGGCTGGGGCCACAAATAGTACCTTGTACTCTGAAGAGTGAGAGATGACTACAGTCTTGCTGAGAAACAGCTACAAATTCAGGAGCTGTCATGGCACGTGGCTCGGTGACTTGTGGTCCTGTCCCTGCCGAGAGTGCTGGACAGCCAGTGCTAAGAACGACGATATGGAGAGGTGGAAATAATTCCCTCATCCCACCCACAAACATCAATTCCATTTTATTTTTTAAATATTTACACTTAGAAATATGTCTGAAAGTGACTGGCCTTGTGGCATAACAGTAGGGTGTCTGACTTCAGATCAGAAATCCGTCTGAAAGTCATGCCCAAATACAGCTTTTTCCATGTACAGTAACACATACATGGAACATGGAACATTCTTTCAATATTGTCTGAATTTTTTTTATAACACATATGTATTAGCTTGATTTTTTTTCTTTCTCAAAAACATTCCAATTTCAAGTGAAAAAGACAAGTGAGCTGAACTGGGGAGGACTCAGTGTTGTCCTGAATGGAGGGTTCGGCTCTCAGTGGTTACATGGGAATGATTCGCTGCTGTTTGGAGAATGTGTGAGATCCTGTGTGAACTTGTGAGGCACTATCTAAAGTAAAAAAAAAAAGAAAAAGAAATTGAAAGGTCCGGGGGTATAGCTTGGGTGATAGAGCAATTGCCTAGCATGGCTTCTGTATCTGAGAATTTATATATATCAAAGTTAGATTTTTGTTTTAACTGTCTTCCAGCAGTCAATGCTCTGCTGTCTTCTAAGCATCCAGTTTTACCTTTTTTGGTCACAAAAGCATGGGCCTCATGTGACAGATCCTCATCTCACTTTAGTGGAATGAAGTTCTGAAAATGTGTTACCCTTGAGGCACATGAAGAGGCTCTTCTAGGGGTGACAAAGTCAAGATGAGGTGGCTTTGTGTCAGCACGTGGACACAGGTCACTTAGGGATCCCTGGGAAGCCTGGATGATAGCTGATCATACTGAGTGTATCCAGGGTGTGTCCAGTCAGAAAGGGTAAGAGGGACAGTAAGTGCAGGGACACAGTATCACAAAGGGCACATCCATCCTCACCTGCCATCAGAAACAGGAGCAGGCCTGCTGCTAAGGATAGGGGCAGTGTGGGGGGAGCAAGGCCTAGACTTTCTGTAGACAGGACTAGGCAAGGCAGGGTGCCTAGCTGAGCAGACTACAGATAGACTGACCTAAACAGTTCTGGGCTTCAGGCCAAGTACGTGGCCATGGGTGATAGAGGGCAGGGGACACTAGCTTGCTGCATGTGGATTACAGAGTTGCCAGATGGAGTAGTACTGGTCTCGGATGATGTGTAAGAAGGCTTCTCACAGGGGAGGCCTTCCCACCTCTCAGAAGTGGGCAGACTACGAGAGGCCATCTCTCCACAGCCAGCAAAGGCCCAGATGTCAGAGCACCCTTAAGTGCAGGGAAAACTTGGTCTCTGCACTGACTGACCCACTCTTGCAGTCACGGCTGTCCGCCTGCGCCAAGCCTCTGGGGCTGCTTGTTCCATACCCCCATTCCCAGCCTTTCCACAATGACATGCATCCCTACCCAGCTTGCCAGTGGTTGAAAAGTATCCTTGTAAGGGGCTGGGGATTTAGCTCAGCGGCATAAGCACCTGCCTTGCAAGCAGGCAGTCATGAGTTTGATCTCCGGTACCGATAAAAAGGAAAAAGATAAAATAAAAAAAAAAAAAAAAGAAAGAAAGAAAAGTATCCTTGTAGACAATAAATATGTAGAAATCAGCAGTATGTCAGTGATCACAATAGCAATTCTTGCCATTTTTTTACCTTACAAACCAAGCTATTTGTAATGTTGTCTAAACTAAACCAAGCCATTTGTGATGTTGTCTAAACTAAAAAAGCAAAAAGAAGGGGAAAAAAAACTTAAAAGGTTTGGGGTATAGCTGCTGGTAGAGCAGTTGCCTAGCATGCTGGAAGCCTAGGTTCAGTCCCTAATAGTGCATGAAAAAAAAAAAAACTTAGAAATATTTTGCCTTTAATCCTAGAAATCCCACTTTTGTGATACAATATTAAACTTTTAATAGACCACAGAAAAGATCATAGGACCACCAGCAAGTCTTGAGTGTCATGTTGGCATGAGGATGTGTGTGTGGCCCTCGAGGGGTCACTAGTTAGGAGATTGCTGCCAGCACCGGGAGGTCTGACCTGCTTACTGAGGCTTCAGCCAGTTGGCATGGTGAACATGCAGGTGCAGACTGTCCTCTTACACTAGTCTCTGCCTCGCTCACACTTTACATTTCCTGCAGGCCAGTGGAACACCCTACACGTCGCCTCCAGGCAGCACAGCCTCACAGCACAACACTGATTCTGAGGAGGAAGGCACCTCCTGGCCTCCCGCCGGCACCGATGGGAGGAGAGAGGCAGCTGCCAGGACCTTGCAGGCTCGGTGGAAGGCCCGGGCACACACGGTGAGCTTCCCAGGAGGACAGCAACTGCGGTGGTCATGTGTCCATGAAGAAAGCAGTTGGCATCATGTGTCTATCACCAGCATTTGCCTTCTGTGTGCCAGCTCCACGCTCAGGCCACTGCTGCAGAATATGCAGGCCACTGAGGTTGTGTGGCATGATGAGCACTGACAGGAACGCAAGAGAGAGAACAGAAGGGCACCTTTTATCCTGGAAGCGCTGGCCCATCCCTTGGGCCCTGCAGTGGGTGTCTCACAAGCCCTGTGGGTCTCGGAGAAGCTGACTGCAGTGTCGAGCACAGGTGCACAGGTGTAATCAGGTTCCTTGCCACTGACAGTGCAGGAAGTCTGAGTTACCCGTGACCAGCCCTTTTCCAGGGCTCCTGGGAACAGCCACTCACAAGAGGGACCCATTTTGTGGGAATGTGAAAGGTCCACCTGACAGCCAACATCTATGACTCTGTACTGGGTCCCTTTGTATAGGTGACAGGAACAAGTTTCCCCTCCTAAGCTCCTGAGATGCCTGTCCTACGGGGACATGAACAGTTTTCCGAGGGCCATGGTGTCCGATGCACCGAATGCTCTGAAAGATATACTCAGTATTTAAATGGTCACCACCTTTTTCCCCCTAGTTGAAAACAGAAACAGTGGCATTCTCTGCTTGTCTGCATTCTGGAAGAGCTCAGCTCCAGAAGGAGGGCCATGGTGGAAAGGGTAGGTGGGTAAATCATTGCTTCTGAGCCAGGCAGGCATGATGACACAGGTCTGTAACCTCAGCACTGAGGGAGGCTGAGGCAGGAGGCTATCAAGTTCAAGTCCTGCCCAAGCAACTTAGTGATTTAGTAAGATCCTACCTCAAAATAAAAAATAAAAAGAGCTGGGGTTATGGCTCAGCTGTAAGTGCCCTTGGATTTGATACCTAGTACTGCCCCCTAAAGTCATTGATTCTTCCTAGATTTTATTATGAAAAATTTTCAGAACTTATGAAAAAGTTGAAAGAATATGTTCTACTTGCTGTTACCTCAATTCAACAATAGTACTTGTATATAGTGTGTGTATATATATATATATATATGTTTTTCCCCCAGAAGCATTTGAAAGTAATCCTTAGACATTACAAAACCTCACCATATATCTTCAAAGAAAAAGGACATTTCCTTGCTGAGATTGGATTACAGACCTCACCAACAAAAGTTTGAGTATTCTTATTGTAGTTTGAGCAGTTCCTGCCCTGTTTTTCTTTTTAAAGACATTTTGTTTTTTGAAGAGAGTAAGCTGGCACTTTATAGGATATTTACAAGATGTTTACTTATGATGTCATTTAACTTGCTCTTCTATCCCTTGTGTTTCCCGTAAATAAGAAATTAGGTCCTCTAGCTTTGATTCTGCTCAAGTTACAGGTTTCTAGCATGAACTCCTTGTAGTGAGTCTGTGTATATCACACTGCCTCCAGCTACAAATGAGATCAGTACTCTACCACTCTGGGAGGCTGGATGGTCGTGTGTTTGAGCCCCACCTGCCTCCTGTGGCTCTGTCTTGCTGAGCACAAAAGGATGTGAAGCAGACCTGTGCCTCCTCCTCACCAGCCCTAGTACTCTTGTTTCTGGGCTGATGGGTCTAAGAGGGAACAGCTTGGCTGTCTGCACTGTCTCATGTCCCTGCTGGACTTGCAGCAGGGTCAAGTTCTAGGAAGGAAAACTGCTTTGAAGAATTCATCCCTCTGATATTAATTCACTTTTTAATTTTTTGCTTGTTTGTTTGTTTCAGAAAAAAAAGGCTGCCATGGATGAGGTAAGCAAGGCTAATTTCACCAATTTTGAAATCTCTGTTTTGACTCTGGAGTAAGAGCTGTTGCCATATTTAGAGACACATTTTTAAGCCCTGACTTTGAAGAAATCAAAGCACACCCAACATTGAGTTTAAAGTGCATAGATAATAGAAGCATCAAATAAATGTTAGAATAATTTTGCGTTCCAACATTCATTTTATTCATTCTTCAACATATGAGCACCCCTGTCAGTTGTGTCAAGCAGCCTTGACCAGTGCCTGACCACCATGGAAAAGAGCAGGTAGAGCTCAGGTGGTGCTGGATTGGGGCACCCATGCAAGGAGGGTGGCCCCCAGGAGGAGTGGCAGGCTGTGTCGCGGGGTGAGGAGAGTGGGAGGGGAAGCAGTGGCAGCCAGGGCACTGAGAACAGCTGAGGACAGCCTGGCCCCGAGCCATAGCCCTTTCTCAGTGAGGTGCTGAAAAATAAAACCCATGTCTTATCCAAGTCTTGGAGCCCTCTCCACTTTTTAAATACTTCTCTCGCCCCCCACCCCGGGTTGCAGTGTGTGTCCATCTGGCCACAGGGAGAACCAAGGTCTCGCACTGCGAACTGACTTACTTACTGCTACGTAGGAGCCCCTTCCTGCTCTGCACTCCAACCTGCCCACTCTCCAGCTCCCAAGGCCGTGCCTCAGTGGCTAGGGTGGGCCCTCGTCTTCAGCTTGGTAGGCTCCCTTGAAGAGCAGGCCCTGGGCAAGTGACTAAGGACAGCGAGACATGGTCACAGGCTTCATGGCACTGTTTTGTAATAATGCACATGTGGAGTAGCATGGCCAGTGGGCTGTGGGCTATCACAGGGCACATCCATGTCACAGTAGTGTGAGCTCCCTCTCCCTCTGCCAAGCAGTCCTACGACACCCTTTCAGGAAGGTCCCTACTTCCGCTGTGCTTGTCCTCACTCCTAAGTCAGCAGCTCCTCAGCTCCCCATCCCTGCTTCCTCTCTTGACCCCTTGCCAGCCACCCTAGGGTCATTCCTTGTCCTTTACAGCTATAGTGGCCATTTCTGACACCACTGTCTGACCTTCCCTCCTCTTTCCTGTTGCTTCCCCTGGCCCCTAGTCCCTATAGCTCCCAGAGTCTCTGACACCTGGCCTGGCCCCACACCCTGTCGTGTCGATTTCCACCCGACCCAGTCCCATCCTGCCTTCTCATTCCTGCATGTGACAGGAAAATTGTGCAACCCTGGACAGAGTGGCCTTCAGCACTGCCCAGGGCCCACTCAAGTTCAGTGCCCAACAGCTGTGTTGGACCTCCTCTCCTCCAGTCCCAGCCCCATCTGCACTGAGCAGCTTGCTTCTTACTCCACTGAGGGACAGAGTGGTCAGTGACCTCCAGCTAGAGTAGACAGCCAGCTCCCCCAAGGCAGGTACGTCAGAAACCAGACAATAGCAGACCCTGGAGTGGTAGAGAGAAGCCTCTGCTGTCTGGTGGCCATGTGAAACAGGCACTGCTGGGGAACACAGTGTGACCATTCCTCAGAAAGTTGGACGTGGGGTCACCCTGTGACCCTGCTGCCCCTCCCCATTGCACCCAGGGGAGCTGAGACTATTACTCAGAAGCTTGACCCTGGAGTATGCAGTCTGTCCACACAGTGGGGTGCTACTCAGCTGTAAGAAGGAGCAGAGGTAGATGAACTCAGAAGATCAGGCCAAGTCAGAAAAGGCAGGCATAAGGCTCCTCACCACGTGGCAATCTGATGTGAGATGTCCAGGGTGAGTAATGAAGGGAGACACAGAGGTGCATCTATGGCTGCCAGAATTGGAGACTGTGGGGGGAGCTGAGTGGTGGCCAGTGGTGCAGGGATTCTCATCAGGGCAATGGAAAGATCCAGAATGATGGCGCAAATATCCGTATAGCACAGCCCATGAGATCAGTGCCACCAAACTACACTAAATTAAAAGGTAAATTCAATGTATTTCACTATAGTTTAAAAAAAACTAAAATATAGAAGGGAGAGAGACCTTCCTCACCATCCTTGTCCTGCAGCCAGGTGTCTGCTGTCCCTGTGCCGGAGGAGAACTCCCACCTCGCAGCACCGCAGCCCAGAGCACACAGTTGCTCTGGACTTTCTGCCACTCATGTCCCTGTGTCCCAAAGTTCCCCCTGTAGGACGTGTCCCTGGGCCTGCCCCTGAAGTCGTGTCCCTGCTTCCGCTCTGCAGCTCTTTGCCTCCCTTTCCTGGGCTCACCCACCATAGCAATGTTACCAGCTCGACAGCCTCTACAGTCTTTGCCTCACAAGACTGCATGGGACCGAGATGAGAGCCCTGCTCCACCTTGGACACCTGCACTTGGGTTCCTGCCTGTGCTGCTTGTCTCAGGGGCTCCACCTTCTCTGGAATTTCTGGCTGCTCTAGGATCCGCCCTCCTCCCAGGGCAGAGGGCACCTTGCCATGAAGAATGAGATATGACAGCAGACCACCAGCCCACTGCTTTCCGCCCAGCACTGCAGCAATTCCAGCACCTCACCAGAGGCAGACTCCTCTACCCCTCATCACCCTGCCCAGTCCCCATGACCAGCCCTGATCACAGCGCCAGCCTCTTCCCCACCCACCCCCCATTTCCTGCTGCCTCATGCTGATTGTGTAAAGTCACCTCAGACCAAACATGTCCAGAGCAGAAGTCTCAGGGGGGAAGTTGTATTTTCCACTCCACATCTGCTCCTCAGATCAACCACTTGCCCAGGACAAAGGTGTTGGAATCTCATCTCTTCTCCAACATCCCACCACCAACCCAGCCAAACCTGTGAACTGCCTTTGAAACATGCCCACCATTCAGCCTCTTTAGGATCTGAATCCAGAAGCCATCACTTCCTGCCTAGACCATTACAGTAATCTGCTCGTGCCTCTTTGCCCTCCCCACCTGCCCCTGTGCAGCCAGCTGGAAGACATTTTGAACATTAGATACCACCACTCTGTAGTGTCACCCTGAAGACAAATCCAAAGTTGCTCCTACCCACCTGTGTTCTGACTCCTGTGCTGCCCTCTAGTCCTGGTGTCTTGGTGACTCTCTCAGGGTGCTGGCGTGTTGGGTCCGTCACAGGAACGTCCTCTTCAGAGCACCCTTCTGAGTGTCCCATGACGGGCCTGCTTCACAGTGTATACAAATGGCACTTTATTCACTGTTACTGCGGTCTCCCCCGTAAAGACGTAGGTCCCTATGGGCCGGGACCGCCTCTCTCCACCACTGTGCTCCTGGCTCCTAGAATAGTGCCTGGCCTACAGTGTGACTCCCCGCCCCGCCCCCCAGTGCTGGGGATTTAACTCAGAGCTTTCATGCTGAGCTGCACCCCCAACCCTCTCTTTTGGTTATTTTGAGACCAGGTCTTGCTGAGTTGCTCAGGCTGAGCTGGAACTTGGGGTTCTCCTGCCTCAGCCTCCTTCAGTGCTCAAGTTACAGGTGTGTGTTACCACTATGCCTGAGCAGTGTTTTCTAATAAGTGAGAGAACAACTGTGAGCATGTTCAGCGGTGCTAGCCAACCAGACAGTGTATTCTGTCCTCACAGTCTGTTTTTCCTTCCTGATCCCCCCTCCCTCAGCCTCAGATTCTACTTCTTCTGAAGTAAAAGTGATACTAAGGTTCCCTTCCTTCTTCCTTCCTTTTTTCTGTTTCTGTTTCCTTCTTTCTTTTTCTTTCTCTTTCATTTCTTCCTTTTGAGACCGGCTCTTGCTAAGTAGTTCAGGTTACCTTGAACACACTGTAACTCAGGGTGGCCTCGAACTCTTGTTGATCCTTCTGCCTCAGCTTCCCCAGAGCTGGGATTACAGGCATGCGCCACCAGGCCTGACTCCACAGGGCTGACTCTGAGTGAACACGATTGGGGCATGGAGGATGCTTCCAGGCAGCTTTGGCTCCTTGAATTTCAGCCCCGCAGGCTCCCATCCCTGTAACTGTATCTCACTTTCTTTGCTGTGTTTCTTACCCTGTATGGATGACACTTCCTTCACCTTGCCACCAAGAAAAACCTTGCTGGCAGTTACTATCAAACTGTCTGTACCTCAGTATCCAGTCATATCGAGACTCAGTGTGGTGTGCTTGCCTTTCTCCTAACAAGTTTGCACTTGACAAGTCCTCCCAAGAAGTAATGGTTTTAGCTTGGGCAACAGGCAGTATCATTCAAAAAGGGAGTGTTTCAAGCTGGACCTGGTGGTGCACACCTATAATCCAGCACCCAGAGACACTGCGGCAGGAGAATCACAAATTCTAGGCCAACCTGGGCAGTTTGGTGGGACCCTGTCTCCAGAGGTTACAGACAGGCCGAGAGCCAGGCATGGTAGCATGTGCCTTAGTCCTAGCACTCTGGACACTGAGGCAGGAGGATTGCCATGAGTTCGAGGCCAGCCTGATCTACATAGCAGGATGAGGGGTGGGTGGGGGAGGAGAAGGAAAGAAGGGAAAAAGGAAGAAAGAAAAAGGAGGAGGCTGGGAATATAGCTCAGTGCAACCCCCCGGGTTCAGTGCTTACTACTATTTTTTTTAAAAGGTGAGTAGTACTCTGCTCAAATACAGAGCATCAATTTCAGACCCTATGGAATATCCTTACACATTTCTTAAGACATTGCTTACGAAAAGCATCTAAGATTAAGATCAAAGGATAAATGATTCCCTTGGATTGTTCTAGAAATCTTGCTGTATCATTCATGATTTTAGAAGATGCATATGATGGAAAGTAGATGAAACAAAATAACCCCAACGTAAAGCACACCAGTGTGCAAAGTGCGGTTTGATATTAGCAGCTCAGTGTAACTGTGTTTGGCAGCTGATTTGTTTCCATCCCAAGAATCCGTCTGCTAGGCTTGGGCAGCTGCTTTTTCTATGGTAGGGCCTGGCACCCTTCACAGTGGGAGGGAGAAACATCCAAGATGCTGCTGCTAATGGCTCTGCAACAGGATGGAAGGCTTTTCTCTTCCCATACAGCTTTCTCTTGAACTCTTCCCCTGCCCGGCATATTCTAGGGAAGTTAAGTCATCTTCCTCTCCTTCCTTTCTTGCCAGGTGGCCATCATGCTCCAGGCAGCTTTCAGGGGACATCTAACACGAGCCAACCTGTTATCAAGCAAAGCATGTGGTCCAGAACCACCCAGCCAGCCAGGCTGCACGAACCAGGTACCCACTTGGGGCTGCACACGGGTCTCATTGTCTACGCTCCATGGCTGCTTCTCTTAGCTTCACCCACTAAGGAAAGCTCAGGACCCTCAGTTTTTCCCCTTCTGCTGCAAAACTGTCAGGGCTTGGCCTCAGAGCCAGACTGCTTTGAGGCCTAGAGAGTCAAACAGCACATCTGTCTCATAAGCTGATAAAGATTGACACTGCCATATAGGTGCTGTCCTCAGAAAATCATATGAGACGGTTCAGAGTCTCCAGAGTATGCCAGACATGGTGGCTCCCACCTGTAATCGCAGCGCATAAAGAGACCAAGGTGGGAGGATTGCAAGTTTGAGTCCAGCTTGAGCAGTTTAGCAGTTTATTGAGATTCCTGTCTCAAAAAAGGCTGGAGATGTAGCTCAGTTTGAAGGCCTTGAATTCGATTCCCATTGCTGCAACAAACAACAACAACAAAAAACTACTTCCAGAGTTTAAAAACCAAGACTCACTGGGAATGGGGCACACTCCAGGACTCAGGAGCCTGAGACAGGATTGCCACAGTTTCAAGGCCAGCCTGGGCTGCACACTCAGTTCAAGGCCAACCTGAACTACAAAGCAAGATCCTGTTTCAACAAAACCTAAGAACCTACACTCAGGAGGTTGCTGATGCTATGGTAGTAATGGGGCATACCTGAAGGGCAGCTGCTTATCCTTGATGGTCTGCAGGAGGCACTCGGGACCACAGGGGCCCCAAATAGTTCTCTGCCTTTGTCCTTTGCCACAGAGTTCCCCCACGCCACATGTCCTAAGCTCCATTACCCAGCCTGAGAGCAGCCCAGAGCAGGAGGAGGCCATCACCGTCATCCAGTCTGTCCTCCGGGGACACCTGGCCAGGGCCAGGCACAGGTGAGTGTCACAGTCACCTCTTGCAACAGTCTGCACTGTCTCAGTCTGCCTGGCAGGAATTGGCAGCTACTTGTCGAGTTGCTTGCAGTTTTCTCTGAGGAGAGCCAGGCCAAACTGGAGCCCAAACCTAACATGGGACAGACATACAGCTGTGTGGACCGTGACCATGTCCACGGGGAACCAGAGGTACAAAACCCAACCCACCATGTGCCCTAAAGGAGTGGACAGAGGACACATCTGAGGCTCTTCAGGGCTTGCCTGCCTTGGGGCCTCAGGCTAATTAGTGACACAGAAGGCTTGCAGACTCTGTGCTCTGCCACCAGGTAAGCTGGAGCTTTCTCTTTTCCAGCACTTCCAGCAGCACCACTGGCACCGTGTCCAGGAGAGTGGCCACAGCCATGCCACCCGAAACTTCCCCATCCCACCTCGAAGCTTCTGCCGGTAATTTCATGCACTTGCTTCTCACACAAGGGACAGCTGTCCCTCTAATGGTTAAGCTAAAAGTGCACCCACCTTCCAGGTAGCTTGGGGCCATGTAAGCATACAAAAGAGGTTTGTCCCACTGTAGCTGCGACCTAAACCAAGTCATACCTCATGCCAAAAAGCCCCTCAGCCCAGCTTCCTTGCTCGGCACGGGGATTGAGTGGTCCCTCAGTTTGCAGCCAGCCCTGCCTGTCCACAGTTCTCCATTAGCCACCCACAAACTTGCTGTATCTATACTTTTGTTCTTCTCAACTCATCAGGAGCTAGCAGATTCCCTCATTTGACCCAGGGTTTCTCTTTTGAAGTAAAACATTGATTCTGTGCTTCCGCAAAGTCAGAAAGCACTGACTCCAAGCCTTGGGCAAGGGATGCAGCCCTGGCTGTGAGCTCGGGTCCTTGCCACACCTGTGCAGAAGGTGATCCTTCAGGCTCCTCCTGTGGTGTCTCCTCTCACTCAAAAGCCACTTTTGGCCCCTGGTGAATGCACTTCAGTGTCCTCCTGCCTAGTTCAAGCAGAAGCCCCTCCACCCACCACTGCTGGCTGGTGACATCACCACAGAGCTAAGCCTAAGGCAGAATACAGATGGAGACTGGGGACAGGCATTAGAGAAAGGCAGTCAAGGTTGACTTGTGCATGTGGCCCCAGGTGCTGTGTCATCTGACACCCTCTGCAGGGATGGTCCCTAAGTCTCTAGGGACAAGGACAGGCAAGGACAGAGAAGAGCATTGACTGTCAGAGAGAAACAAGTGGGTGGGTGGCAGGTGGGTAACAGTCTGGGCCTTACAAATGCCTTATATACAATGGGAGCCCAATTTGCATGTCCCTTCAGGTAAGGGGGACAGCGAAGCCAGTGATGGGATGGTTGCAGAGGATGAGGCAGGGGAGCCGACGAGCCTGCAGTCCCACTCTGGTAAGTATGGGGGCCACTGGTGGCAGAGATGGCGCCTGACCAAGTGATCACCCTTCTTCACTGTTGACAGAAGAGTCAAACATTAAGGAAAGCCCTGACTCTGAAGCTGGTCAGACCTGGTGGCTTACACATCCCTCCGTCTGGCGGTCTAAGTTGGCCACCAGGGGCCACTTAGGCCCACCTACTCAAGCCAAGAATTTCACACCATGTTTGGCTTGAAAATCACATCCAAAATTGCATCCTATCCATTTCAATCATTGCTTCCTAGCTTTTTCAGAGCTAGGAACTGAAGTTTGCTATTCTCCCCAAAATCTTCATCTGCAAAGCTCAAGGAAAAAGATTAGCCACCCCAGGGTTTCAAGGAAGGGTACTAAAGCCTGAAAAGCTGGCAGCTGCTGTAATCTCCAGCCTGGAAGGCTTTAATTTGTTCTCCAAAAAATTGTGCTGATTCCTTCAGGCCAGGTGTCTGATAACCTTTAAGTTGTTTGATCAGGGCTACCATGTCTGTTTATGGCAACCTTTTCATCTTACTAAGTGTGACTTTGAAGCACCGGATTCGCCCACCTGTCCACATTTCGTGTCAGAGATGCTCTGGGCATCAGCATGTGCCAACATGAAATCACGCATCTAGATGAACATGGCAGTCAAGTTCTTGTTTGAGCTGACTGTGTTTTTAAATAGAAAAAAAAATGAAAATAACATTTGGGGATTTAGCTCAGTGGCATAAGCACCTGCTTGGCAAACATGAAGTTGTAAGTTCAATCTCCAGTATAAAACAAAACAAAAAAACCTTGAAAACATTTTTATTTCCAAGATTCCACTTTGATATTAATTTTCTTGAAAGTTAAAGAGAAACAACTGATGCACCTATATTGTCTGCTATGGGGCTGCCTTGTAATTGAACTCCTGTTAGGAACTCAGGTTGGGGTGAGTCTAGCTCTGCCCAGAAGCCATGGCAAAGCTGCTGTGTATTAACTGCCCTTCCTCAGGCCCAGCCCACCCCAAGAGGGCCATTGGAGTTGCTGCCCCATTGGGCTGGAGGTGGCACCTTATTCCAGTGTAAAGAAAGTAAGCTGGGTGTTGCTGTACCCTGCAATCTCAGCACCCCGAGATGCTGAAGAAGGAAGATGGCAAGTTTGAGCACAACCTGTGCAACTTAGCAACTGGTGCAAACCTATCTCAAAATAAAATAAGAAGGGCTGGTGATATAGCTCACCGGTCTTAGGTTCAATACCTGGTACTGCCAAGAAAAGAAAGAAAAAGAAGAAAATAGTGGCCACAGGGGAAGCTTACCACAGTCAGTGCCTAAGAACCACTGCACCTGGTCCTGCCACCTTTCTGCCCTGGCACACAGCCTGGGAGCCCTCCTTTGGCCATGTCTGGTTCTGACACACAAGTGGCTGCTGGCCTTGTCTGTGCTGGTGCCTGCTACTGGCCCAGATTCCTTTCCCAGTTGCTTTGATTTCAGGAAATAGCCAAACTGTTCCCAGCTGAGAGATCTGCAAGGGCTTTCTGGCAGGGTGTGTGTTGGTTCTGACTGCTGCCCCTGGGCTCAGTCCTAATCAAAACACTGGCCTTGCCTTTGGGAGCTGCTGATGGTGTGTGTCCATGCAGCCCTGACCAACATCTCTGGTTTATTTCAGCAGAGCCCTGTCTCCCGGGGCTGCAGCCAACAGTGCCCCAGCCTGTGGATGATGTCTACTCTGACGACTCTGATGACATTGTCATCGTGTCATCTCTGCCCACAAAGAAGAACCCCTCCCCATTCTAGGCCCCTAATCATTGTCTCCAAGTGATGATGGTCACCAGGGTGAAAGGACAAAGCAGCTCTAGAAGACATGGTAACGAAAACTGGGACTCTAGTGTCTCTTTTTGGGGAAGAACCATCCTAAACACCTTGGCTTTGCTTTGTTGTCGGTCCGAGGATTCCTGGAAGCCTGTATTTCAACCTTCAGGGGAGGCCACTCTTTCATATCACTCTCTTCATCTCCAGTCCATGTGGTGGCAACAAACACATCTGCCATGACCGATGGGCACCCACAGAGCTCTACAAAGACACATGCATTCCAGCAGTACACCACTTTACCTGGGCCCCCTGAGGAGCTACTTTTGCAGGAGCCAGCAGAGCACCACCTGTCCTCACCCTGTAACACCATGGCCATGCAGGGCTGACCTCACCCACTGGCCTAGCAGAAGCACACTGTGTCCCCACAGCCACCCCTCCCAGGGAAGGGTCTGGTTCGATTGGTCACTGGAGGGGTGGACACTGCAAAACCTGGGCAATGACCACAGAATAGCAGCACCCAGTTCCCTGGGCTTTAGCCTCTGGGCATCCCAACCTTGATGGGGATGGGAGCCAGGCGAGGAGATAGGCTGAAGTCTCAGGTAGGGCTGAGTTCCACTGTGGAGATAGGGACAGCTATCTACCCTTGATGAGCAGAGGCCCCCGCAGAGGCCCCCACAGCACGTGCTGGCCCCTTCAGCAACAGCATCTCCAGATGATGGTTGTGGAGCGCCTCTAAGGACGCCACAGCTTTGGCCTCTCTCCTGTCATGAGATGAGCCCCACATAGCCAAGATGAAAAGCTCCAGCTCAGCCTGGGTGTCAGGGGTGTCCAGGTGCAGGAGTAACCTAGGCATCCTCTGTAGAATCCCTGTGGATAGCCTGCCTCAGCTCCAGCACTTGGGATGCAGGAACTTCTCACCAATATCAGCCATGTCTGAGGACAGAGCTCATGTTAGAAAGCTCCTTCTGCAGTGTGCCCAGGGCTCTGTCCCTCAGGGATAGTTAAAGTTTCCAGAGCACCTATCCTGACAGCACCTTGAGCCTTTTCACCATGCAGCCTTTGCTATGCAGCTTGGGGTGGTCCAAGTTGGCACACAAGTTGCTGCCCAGCCCCTCTCTCCACCTAGCTCTGTGCCAGATAGAAAAACTGCAGGACCCTGGCTGTTGATATTCTGTGTGCTCTGTGGGCCACCCCATCCATTTCCTGCTCCCCACCCAACTGAGTGCTTCTCAGCTGATGGGGCCCTCTGTAGACCGCCTTCCTTTCACCCTTTGTGTCTCCTCCCTGGTGAGCCACACCATCCTTCAGAGCTTCAGAGCCACCCACTAAAATGCAAGAGGATAACACAGGTGGCCCCTGTGGCTGCACATTGGCCAGGGTAGGTCCTCGGTTCTATGTCTCGGCTGCTAGCAGAAGTCATTTCTGTGTTATAGTTCACCCCTCAGAACCGCAGCTCTAGTTCTATGTTAGGGGGTTGAGGGGAAATAGGGTGGGGAACATTCCCGCTTCAGGAGAAAATACAGGGAACAAGGCAGGTCTTCAGCTTGGGCAGTATCTGATACTGAGGCCACCTGTGCACATGACCTGCAGGGGCCTGACCAATAGGTAGAGCTAAGGACAAGATCCAGATTGGGCCCCGGACTTGTGTTTTCCAAGAAAATGCCCCCAAGCGTTGTAAATATGTATATATTTCTGCCTGCCTTTTTTGGTGGGACATTGCTAACCTATTAAAAGCAAACATTGTCTTGAAGCTACCTCAGTAAATGACAGTTCACAACAGTGTCTTTAGCTGATGTCCAGGGTTGGTTACTCAGGGCCCTCTGCTGGGACAGCTTGTCTGGCTGCTTTGTTGCAAAGTGACAGTGGCACAGAACCTGGTGGGCCAGGGTCTAGTGCATGGAGATGGGGGACTGGGGATGCTTCAGCAGAAGGGCCCAGGATGAACATAAATCTTATCCCATACTGTTGTTGCTCAATAAAATGGGCCCTTCTTCCTGTGTTTGGTCAGGAAGATGCTCGTGCCCACACCAGGTCTGGCCCCATGGATGGGGTGTGGCCTTAAAAGGTGACAAGGCAGACTGAAAGGGGCAGAGACCTCAACCTCACAGGTTAAGTGCAAAAGCTGGCCCAGGTACGTGCAGCTGTGGTGGGGGTGTCAAGTGCCATGTATCACTCAATCTGCCCTGATTTTGCTGCAACACCTCCACATCACCTTGAATTTAAAGAACAGTAGCAAAACTTTACCCTCTTTAATAGGTTGATGCGTAGTCCAACTTTGTTGTTTTCATGGTACCAGTGTTAAACCCAGGACCTTCATATTGAACTACATCTCTAGCCTTTTTTTTTAAATGAGACAAGATCTCACTAAATTGCTAAATTATCCAGGCTGGGCTTGCTATCCTCTTGCCTCAGCCTCCCAGAGTGCTGGGATTATAGTTGTGTGCCACCACACTTGCCTCATTCCAGGCCTTTTAAACAAGCACTAAGAGATGTGAAAATCTGCCAGCCCTGGCTTCACTGCATGGCAGCAGCCACAGCTTTACTCCTCACACTGCCAGCATGGAGACCTCTAGGAGAGGTGGTGGGCCCCTGGTGCCCCAACCCAGATCCGTGCTCCAAGGAAGTCCTGACTGGAGTCCTCCATGCATGCCCCAAGTTGCTGAAGAGGTTGGTTGGCTGAGGACCTGCTCCTGCAGGTCCAGCACACTTCCCTGAGACAGGGACGGAACACACGCCACAGGCCCAGGAGCAGGAGGGACTGTTGGGTCTCTTCTGAGGAGGCTAGACGACTGCAGAGGTGTACCCAGGCAGGACTGTGACCCTCTGCAGCCATTAGGATGCATTCATCCACCAGCTGCAGCTGAGGAGGAAGTGCAGGGAGCAGGCTAGTATAGCCAGGCAAGCCAGAAACACAAAGAAGCAGAAGCGAGGTGTGTGCATGCGCGTGGGCCACAAACCCTGTGGCCGGTGTTTCCAAGTGAGCTCTTCAGCAAGTTCCTGTGTCGGGGTGATCCCAGAAGGATGTGTGCGTTGGGAGAGGGCTTGAATGGTCTCCCTCAGAGAGGAGGGGCCAAAGGAAGCCACCAAGGCCACCATCGCCCCAAGGCTCTAGATAGGCAACCTGACCATGAGATTAGTAGGCAGGCCAGTTAGGGCTAAATTCCCAGGGCCCAGTGCCTGGTGCTTGGACAAAGTAACTTGATGTATTAGGGACTTTTTGTAGGCTAGGTCGGCTATGTTAGAGGGACTCTAGGTGAATGACCCTGCCTCTTTGTGCTGGCTGGGCTCTGTCTGATGAATGTCTATTTTTGTCTCCTGACAAGGGAAATGAGGACTGTTCTCACAATCCTTCGGATGAACCAAAACCTCCCCTGCAAAAAGACCAGTGGCATTTATTAAAGACAGTCCAACCAGCACAGATCTACCAAGATCAGTACAGCAGAGCTTTGCTTTGCTTTAAAGCTATAAATACCTTCTGTGGAAAGCACTATAACCTTTAAGATCTAAATAAAATTTCCATTATAACCTGTCTAAACTAATTGCAAATTCTTCCTCAGATGTTGGAAGCTGTGTTTGCTCTCGTGTGGTTCAGAGAATCACAGAGGACCAGAGAGTTGGCACAAACTTTGCCATGGCCTGAGTTGGCTGTGTCGCAAGGCTCCCACTTCCCCAAGTTCCCTGGGGCCTGCTGGCAGTGCCAGCACTGTGCTAACCACCTGTCAAATGCAAACCAGTCAAACCTTAAAAGCAAGAGAAATTACCTCCGGACACAGAAATGTGAAACTCAGGATGGCTCAGGAGGTCAGGTATGGTGGTGTACACCTGTAATCTCAGCACTCTCAGAGGCTGAGGCAGGAAGATCACAAGTTCAAGCATAGCCTGGGCAACTTAATGAGACCCAGTCTCAAAATCTTAAATTGCTAGGGATGTAGCTCAGTGTGAAGACCCTGGATTCAATCCCTAATACTGGGGGAGGAAAGTTAGGGCAGGTTGATCAGCTGGCCTTTGGCATTTTATGTTTCTATCTTGTACCTAATTCATACAAAATTTGTTGTTTTGGGTGGCTGAGCTAAGTCCTCAGTCCTCACACATGTATCTTTTAAAGGAACAGGTCTCTCATTCCTGTGCCACTTGTTCCTTGCCGTTGTAAAGACCAGTTGTTTTGCAGGTATTTGGATTGTCAGTTAATCTTTCCTTTCCATGACTGCTATGACTGTTGCCCCCCGCCCCCCTTGCCAGCCTGGTACTGGAACGCTGTTCCTGGGGCTTCAAGTGTCTGACTTTAGCCCTAGCATGGCATGGAGACGGAGCTGCTCTGCCATATCGGAACCCCTTATCCCTCTGAATTTCTGTTCCTGAGATATGAGAGAGCACTTGAGCATCAAGAATCAAAAATGAGCGCACATGAGTGAGGTTCTCCAACTGCTGTTTAATTTTTATTTCAGGAACAGGAAAAATTATTTAGGAACAAAACAGCAATGACAAGAGAAACACAAGGAGAGATTGAGAGGGGAGGAGAGAGGAGGGAAGGGGTAGCAGGAGCTGGTGTCTGGGTTTTTTTTTCTGTGATTCTTGCACAGACCAGGTGCCCAGTGGCTCCTCTCCACATGGCTGCCCTCCCTAAGTCCCTGAGTCCCACTGATCCTGGCTCACTTAAAGCCCAGCGGTGACTCGTATGTCGGCTGTTACCCCCTCACCCGTGAGGCACATGGCAAATGGCTCATGTGGAAACTTCTCACAGAAAAGCTGGTAGGGCCTGGAGGGGCTGTGAGAATGTAGCTTGGATGTTTCACCCCAGCCACAAGCCCACAGGCACCTGTGACTCTCCCAAGGGGCTCAGGCGGGCAGCAAAGCAAAGATGACCGCTGCTACATCTGGCAGGAGAAAGGAAAGAGGTAAGATCTATCCTGGAGCCTTGGGGCTAGGGAGCTAAGGAAAAGGTAAAGATGAGTGCCCAGACCCATTCCCACAGGAACCCGCCCATCTCTCCCACTAGTGCTCCTGGGAATTCTCTAGCTTAGTCTGGAAATAGCACCCCTCACCTTTTTTTTTTTTTTTTTTTTGCAGTCTTGGGGATTGAGACCAGGGCCTTCACACTGAGCCATGTCCTCAACTGTTTTTTTTTGTGGTGGCAGGGGGGAGGACAGGGTCTCAATCATTAAATTGCCCAGGTCAGGCTTGAACCTGCAATCCTCCTGCCTCAGCCTCCCAGCGTGCTTGCACCATCACACCTAGTGAGCATGCTTTAAACACTGAAATACTCCTGGTTCCCGCCAAGATAGTTTTTAAAGTGATATTCTTTGAAACCCTGGAGGGCATAGAAAAAAGAATGTCACCACCACCACCCTGCCACCATGGTTCTTTTGTGCCCTGCTCATGGATTTGGAATCTGAGCAGTGAGGGTGAGGACAGGTTGGCCTTTCTGCGTGGGCACCAACTAGTGGCCCTTGGCAAACACCTTGAGCCCTGGAGGCGGCCCTATTAGTGGGCACCCGCCAAGCAGCCTGGGTGAGGTTTCCATGGTGCCTTGTCCTTCACTGAATGAGGAGACCGGGTGCCCCTGAGCTACTTGCTAATTAAGCCCCAAACAGCCAGGATTCAAAGGAAGGGTCCCATGTGCCAAGGTTCTGGGGCCTCCTTCACAGGCCCAGCCTGGGGGCTTTCTTCCTCCCAGGCCTTCCCTTCCCAGGCCTCACTTCCAAGGGATGAAAGCTGAGAGGCCGCGTGGGCGGGGAGGGGCACAGCGCACAGAAACCGCACAAAACGCAGCTCAGCAGCCTCCTGCCCTTGCCTCCCAGCCTGCCTTCCTCCTGCACGGCCCCTGCTCCAGGCTGTTTTTCTACCACCCTTCCCTCCTGTTCTTTTGCCTCTCTGCATTTTGGATTGTCATCCTAGCCCTGGCACTCAGACTTATCTATTAATGGGGTGTCCCCAGGTTCCGCCCCCAATACCCTGTCCATCCCTGTAACTACCTGTTGGACGTTGCTGCATACATCTTTGGATCCCGTGTCCCAGCTCTGACTTGTCTGCCCCATCCCTGCTCCCTGTCCAGTGAGTGGCGTCACAAGTCACACAGGGGTCCCCACCAGAGACCTGGGGGTCACCCTTGTTTCTTCCCAACTCCCCAGCCTTCTCAGGGCCGCCAGATCTCACAGGGGCTTTCTCCTCAGTAGCGTTCAACTCTGTCCACAGCCAAGTGGGAGACCTGACCAGCCAGCCCCGGCCAGTTCTGACCCGAGTGTGGCAACCTCCTGACTGCTTGCTGCTGCCTGCCTCATCCTCCCTTCTCCTAAGGCCAACAGCGCCGTTCTTGTCCTGCCTCGGTGGGGTCCTCCTATTCTGACTGCTTATTACACTCAGCTGGCTTCTTCCCGGTGGTTATTTCTTTTCTAGAATGATACTTCTATTTTTAAAAAAGAGATGTTTTATATTTTTAAAAAACTATAGAGCCAGGTGCAGTGGGACATAACTCTAATCCCAGTACTTCTGGAGGCTGAGACAACAGGACGGCATGTTTTAGCCCAGCTTGGAGAATTTAGTGCTACTCTACCTAAAAATAAAAAGGTGATGTAGCTCAGTGTGAAAGGCATGGGTTCAATCTTCAGTATCACCAAAAAACAAAACAGACACAAAACATGCATAGACCTTTGGGACCTCCTGGGGAGCCATTGTCTAGCTGAGGGAAGGGCTCTGGCCTCAGATCAGATGAGGCTTTTTCCTGCCTGGGTTTCGAACAGAAAGTGCTTTCCTCAAGATTCCCCAAGAAGTCAAGGTCAAGGTCCCTGGGAGCAGGGCCAGTCTGCCTAGTCCGGAGCATCTCCACACCCCTCCTCCCTGTTTCCAGGAAGGAATCCAGCCATACTGTCCTCATGGGCACGTCTGTGATTTCCCAGGGCCTCAGGACAAAGTCCAAAGTCCTCTAGGACCAGGAAGGCCTGGGCATCTGCCCAGGGTGCTCCTGCCTCTTTCCCCAGGTAAGCCAGGCAGGCAGTATCGGGTTAACAGTTGGCAGTGACACGTGTAAGGTAGGCCTGCAGGCTTCTGGACTGGCATCATCTCAGCCACCCAGAGACAGCCAGTGTCACTGTTTACAGGTAAGAAAACAGGCTTGCCCAGGTCACCCATCAGGCTGGCCAGCCTCGACTCTTCTGCCTGTAGGTCCAGGGACCCCTTTTCCCTCACCATCCCTGCAGCCCAACCCCACAGGTTCATGGCCATTCTGGCCTTCTGAGACCCGCACCACACCCTTTCTGCTCCTCCACGGTCCCTGTATATGAGAAGCCTGGCTGGGCACTGTGGAAGAGCAGTGGAAATTACTCCATCTACTCTGCTTCCCCATCCCAGGCCTCTTCTCCTCCTACCCATCCTGGCTTGCAGCCCAGCTGTCCCCATTCTGGGAGGCCCTGGGATGCCTGAGCTCTCCTCCATGGGGGCTGCAGTGAGCACTGAGGGGCAAGTGGTCAGCATTCTCCAAGTCCTTCATTAGCCCAGAAGCCTTTGTTCTCTCCTGCCCTGGCTTCCCCCTTCTAAATGTAAATCCCACTCTCACCCCAGCTAGCAGCCTCTCCATGTTCTCATGGCTCCCAGGGCCCAGTCTGAACTTCCCAGCACGGCATGCAAGGTCCCCTATCCCACCTCTGTGTCCCTCCTGAGCTCAGTGCCCCCATGCAGCCCTACTGTGTCACCACCTCAGGGGCCTGTTTGCATCCCTCAGCTGTAAGAGCAGCCCCCAAAGGCCGCCACAGCCTGTAAACACAGGGCCAAGACAGCGTGCTCAAGAATTCCCCTCTACCTGAATAAGCAAGAGAAAGAGCAGCCCGTGGGAAGCACGGCAATATAAAACAAGGTAAACGCAGCAGAGGATGTAAGATACACTGCCGAGGAGTTACAGACGGATAACTCAGAGTCAGAAAGGACAGAAGATGTCTTGACACAAGTGTGGCTCTGTGCAATAGAACTTAGAACAGGAACACAACACAGAATTCAGATTTAAAACCAGTTTAAATTCAACATTCCAACAGTTCTTCACGTTCCCTTCTATTACATTCAAATAAAATGAAGTGTGCATTTTTAGTATATGTGCTGCTGAAGCGAACACTGGAATGTAATATTTTATAATAGTACATGTCCATCTCTGTTTACACTGCAGTAAAATTGTTATTGTATAGCACTGATCTGCTTATCCTCCTTTCCTCCCTTCCCTGTCTCTCATCTGTCTACCCACTGGGCTACCCGTTCCTTCATTCACTTACCCATTCACCCATCTGCCCATCTGCCCATCCATCCACCCATCCATCCATGCATATGCCCACCCTTCTTCCATCTATTCATATGTAAATACAGAGAGGTGTCAACAACGCTGCTCATCAAGTATCAACAATAGTTATGTCTGGGTTAGCAGTGGGAACACATGCCTGTCATCTTCATTCAGGAGGTTGTAACAGGAGGACTGAAATTTCAGGGCCAGTGTGGACTGTATAGTCAGTTCAAGGCCAGCTTGGATTATTTAGCAAAACCTTGCCTCAAAAATCACCCCTCACAAGGGAGCAGCAGGCTGAGCGGCAGTTGGGGCAGGGGCTATAGTGACTGCCCCACACCAGAGGGCATTGCTGTATCTCCTGATGGATGCCCGGGCTCTTTTCTGGTCATCAGTGTTCACACCAACCTTTGTTTACCTCCCATCGGATGCTGCCTTAGATTAGTGCAGGGCTCGAGGGAAGCTCTGAGTACGACACAGAGGGAGCTCTGGGGCTGGAAACAGTGTTCCTGATGACTCAGAGGCCCTGAAGATTTCCTGGTTCCCACTGGCTTTCTGGAAAGGTGAAGCTGTTGGCCAGGTGACTCCAGGGGAACAAGAGATGCTCATGTCATCTTTGGCCAGGGTTGTGTTTGGTTGACTTTGTGGCCTCTCGGGAACCCTGCTGGCTGGCATCTCTCCCAGCCTACAGAGCCACAGACCTGAATCCTCACAGCCAGATCGGAAGCAATGTTCCTGTGGCTTTTCTGCAGCTCAGTAACAGTAACCAGGTGTTGGTGGGGAGCTGGGCACTGGGTGGGCTGTGTGGCCTGAGTGTCATCCAGCCACATCTCAGCTGGCGCCAGGGGAGAAACTGGGCCTCTAGCTTTTTCCTCTCCCTGCCAATTCTCTTGAGCACTGTTTCCACAGAAAATGTGAACCTCGCTGGATGGGGTCCAAGCACGGGGAGTTCCATTGTTCTGGCTTCACCCCAGCATCTGGGGGCCTGGCCCAGTCTGGGCACGTGCAGCTGGCCTGGCCTTTCTCCCAGTGGCTACAGGTCTCGAGACAGCTATTCAGGAGCCTCAGCCATTCACTTCCTGGCTGGGGGACAGCCCCTGGGAACTCCTAGCCTGGACCGCCCCTCCCTCGCTCCAGATGCTTCTGCCAAATGTTTCCAACAGCTCAGCCCTCACAGATTTTCTCATTCCTGTGTTCCCCTCACTAGCCCTTACTTTCCTCAAAGGAAGAAAAGAGGGAGGAGTAAAGGAAGAAGGAGGGGCTGCAGAATAAGCTCTGATTTCTTAACTGGATGATGATTCTCAGGGCCTCCCAAACAATTGCAGAAGGTGAGTGTATTTGTCAAGTTCCTGTCACTAGGACAAAATACCCAACATCCCTAACTTAACAAAAGAAAGGCTTATTTCCTTTATAGTTCCAGTAGGTTCAATCTATCATTGGGTGGCTCCAAGGTGGAAGGGGCATGGTGCAAGGGAACGGAGAGGAAAGCTGCTCGCATGATGGAGGCCTTGAAGCAAAGAAAAAGGGAAGAACCAGAAACGAGACTAATCTTCCAGATCCTACCCTGGGGCCCTACTTGCAGCCAAGGCCTACCTCCTAACAGCATATTCAGCTATGAACACATCAATGGATAAATCTGCTGATGAGTACAGCAGCCCCATGATCCAACCACCTTCTCAAAGCCCACCTCTGAACATGAAAGTCTGGGGGAAGCTTCTAGATCTAAACCAGAATACTGGGCCTCATATGAAGCCTACCCTCCAGCCCCAGCTGTGCCAGGACAGGTGGGCAGGACAACCACTGCTCTGGCTGACGAGTGCCGGCCAAGAGTAGGGCGAGGTGGATGAGGCTTGCGGGACTGTCCTCTCCCCCAGGAACACTCTTTTGGTCTTTGCCCTGCTGGAGCTATGGCTGTCAGTCCCAGGGGCTTTTCTGTTCAGCTTTCCACTGCTGGACCGCACAGATTATGGGGCTGCCACTGCAGAGCATATGTTAGAGGTCTCTTTCTCTCCACCTTGGACACTTCTTATGATCATATTATCATTCTTCCTTCCAAACACATTGTATTAATATCGCCATTTTATTGCCAAGCACACTTCTCTGGGCAGCCCCATGCATTTCTCTAATTGCTGTAATGGTTCCACAAATGGATACCTTTAAACAGTAGAAATATAGTGTTTCACAGTTCTAGAGGCCAGACATCCAAGATCAAGACAGGCTCTGGAACAGAGACCTCTCGGACTTCTCCACACTTTCTAGCTCTAATCATCCTTAGTCTGGGAACACATGACTCCAGTCTCTGGTCCTATTGTCTAGAGGCCTCTTCTGAATCTCTGTATCTCCAAGTCTCTGTGTCCAAATTTCTTTTTATTAAAAAGATATTGCTTTTTAACAAATTGTTAATTTTAATTTTTTTTAGACAGGGTCTAAGGTCACCCAGCTGGGCTCGAACATGTAATCCTCTTGCCTCAGCCTCCAGAGTGCTGTGATTACATCCAGTTTGGGACTGCCACCACCCTAATCCTATGTGACCTATCTTAATTTGGTTAATCTGTTTCCAAATGAAGTCACAAATACCAGGAATTAAGACTTAAAAATCTCATTGGAGAACAGAATTTAACCCCATTACACCTGAGTTATCATTTCATATGATGGCTAGGCTTTCTGGCTTCAAAAAAAAAAAAGCCCAACTTTGTGAAGCTTCTGGAAACGCTGTGAGGAACTCCTGGATCCAAGGAGTTCCTCTTTAATCATGAGTTGTGGCAGAGCTGGGCTGTTGCTAGGGTACTGGAGTTGGGGCAAAGCAAAGATACAGGGGCTCTTTTGGGGGCCATGAGAGCTGCTGTTAATTAAGAGGGACCAGAAACTTCCCTGTCCATATGGATAGCCTCTGTTGCTGCTCATCCTGGAGCTGCAGAACCCTGAGGTCAGAATCAGTGGGGAGAGGCAGGGGACTACTGTCCCCATCGTGCAGGTGAAGGGACAGGCTAGGTGCCCAGAGTGGGTTGGACTTGGGGTAGGAGTACTGCCTAGTCTACCTGTTCACAGCCAGCAGTTACCTGGTGCCAGAGAAGAGTATTTACCTTGCCAGTTACCAACCTACTCCTAGCAGTGGCCTTGACCATGGGGGTAGAGGGACTTCATTCTGCCCTTCACTCCCAGCAGCCTTGGCTGCACTGGAGAAGAGAAGCCTGAGCCCAAATTCCCTGCTTCTCTGGACTTGCAGCCTTTAGGTAGTGAGAACAGTACTTTTTCTAAATTGGGCGGTGTCTCCACATTAGAGGGTGGAAATCATAGCCTTGCTTGCAAAGGCCTCATGCCCCAGGGCCTTATCACAGGAAAACGGGCATGTCGAGGCAGTCATAGGAGCGTAAGGACAGGCCTACTGGGTAGCCACTTCCCAGCCTGTCAGGCAGGCCTGTGTGCCCAAGGAGCTGGTCAAGCAAGGAACAGCAGACCAACAAATCAGGCTGAAAAGTTGTTTATCAGAACACAGCAGACCTGGTGCAAGGTCCCAGAGTGGTAGTGGGCCAAACCAGAAGGAGTTACCTCACACTTCCGGGGAGGAGATGGAGGCAGCCAGGGCTGGCACTTGCTGTTGGTCTATCCTTTGTTTCTGGCTGCTCTCAACTCCACTGTGTGTGTGTGTGTGTGTGTGTGTGTGTGTGTGTGTGTGTGTGTGTCTGTGTGTACACTGGGGACTGAACCCAGGGCTTTCTTATCTATTTTGAGACACAGTCTTGATAAGTTGGTAAACTGCCCAGACTTAGCTCAAACCTGCCATCCTCTTGCCTCAGCCTCCTAGGGTAGTTGGTTTAAAGATGTGCACCATCACTCCTGGGTCTCTTCTCCATTTGGGGGCTATCCTATAGGAAGCAAGCTGCACCATCAGCCTTCCCTTAGGTACCCAGCCTTGCTCTGGGCGCTCTACACTGACTGATGCACAGAGAAGTTAAATAACTTGCCCAAGAGCACACACCCATAGGTGATGAGCCAGTCTGCCCATCCTACATACAGGCCACTGGGTTCACTTGAGGAGTACTATGTATTGGCCTGCCAGCTAGCTGCTGGGTGAACGGTCCATGGCCTACAGGATAGACCCCCACAAATGTGCAATGGTCGAACCAAAGAGAGAAAACTGCACACTCAGCCAGATTCTGGCCTCCGGGGCCTCAGATAACCTCTGCACCAGTGTGGGTATGGAGGTTCTCGAGTCTTCCGGGGGCGCTATCCCTCACTCTCTAAATCAAGGGAGTGGGCGGAGCCTCTATTGGCGAGCCAATAAAGGGTTGGAGGCGGGATCTGCGTGTGGAAGGCGGGAGGGGGTCACTTGGATAGTGGGCAGGCGGAGGAATGCAGGGGCGGGGCAAATGGGGAAAAGACCAATGGAAATTCAGTAAATGCGAGAGGGCGCGCTGAAGGGCGGAATCAATGAGAGAACAGCGAATGGTAACTGGAATACAGGTTCGGTGGGCGGGGCGGGCGCGGGGCCGGACTTGTGGGAGCCAGGCCAATGGCAGCTCGGGGGCGGAGATGAGGACGGGCGGGGGCGCCGAGGGGGCGGTGGCGGCGGCGGCGAACAAAGAGGCGGCAGGAGCGGGTGGCCGAGCGGAGCCGATCGCAGCCGAGCCGATCGCAGCCGAGCCGGGCCGAGCCGGGCCGAGCCGGGCCGGGCTGGGCCCAGGAGCTCCTGGGCGATGCAGGCGTCCAGGTGGGGGTCGGTGGGTCCCTGAGACCCGTGCCCGGGCAGCAAAAAAGCCCGTGCGGCCGAGGCACCGGCCACCATGGCCGGGGTCAGCTACGCTGCACCTTGGTGGGTGAGCCTCTTGCATCGGCTGCCCCACTTCGATCTGCACTGGGAGGCCACCAGCAGCCGGTTCCGGCCCGAGGACGCCGACTACCAGCAGGTGACGCGCGCTCCTGGCCGCGGGGTCAGGCTCCGGGTCACGGCCCTTGCCCCTGAGACCTGGAAACCCCCAATCCCTTTCCTTCTGGAGTTCCCCTCTGGGCCCCTGATGCCCTCTTCGAGGGTCCCCCAGATTGTCTCTTCCCCTCCCATGTTACCAGATTCTCTGCTGGGTCCTCATGGGGCGTCTTTTGGCCTCATGTCCCGGTTTCCATCCGGGGCGGGGGCGGCCTGGCGCTTTTCTCCAGCAGAACCCCCTACCCATGGCCCCCAGAATAGAACCCAAGCCTGGGCACTGTCATTCCCTCTTGCCTCGGTGGGGAATCCCGTGACAGGCTGTTGGTGGGTGAGTACCCTGAGTGGACGCCAGCCCTCTGTGGCCGGTAATGACCCTCTGTTCTGTGGTCAGGCTGTGGGGTGTACATGCTGTCTTATGTGGCTATGGGACACCAGGCTCTGCCAGGCTGTGGGAGGGAGGTGCAGCGAGGTGGGCCTCAGTCTGAAAACTAGAAAGGGCAGACTTAAAGACAGTGGAGGCCCCTTGGGTTCCCTTTCTTTCCCTGTGGAGCCCTATGTTTGGCATCATGCCAAGTCTGGATGCCACCCCAGCCCCTAGCTGTCATTTGAGTGTAGGGCAGGGGGCAAGGCCAGGGGCATTTACTTCAGGATTCCAGACAAAGGTGAATGGTCACCCAGGGTGCATGTTAGGGTTTATGTCTGGTGATCACAGTGGAGTCTAGGTGGTATGGGAATCCAGTGTTTGGGGGCAAGTAGCACCTCCCCCCTCAGCTGTGTTCTCTCTGCCTCCTTTACTCAGAGGGCAACCGGAAGTGGAGGCTGAAGGCACCATGGGAAGTTTGCTGCCCTGCTCCCTTGCTTACCTGATCCCAGGTCCACCAGCTGATGGTGTTTCTAAGCAGATTAGAGAGGGGATGAAGGATTGGCCCTGGCATGCCCAGAGATGGCCTGAAGAGGTTTTTTGTGAACCTCTGGCCAAGGAGCTGTTGGGAGGAGGGACATACTTTTTCCATGCTTCCCAGAACAGTGGCCATGGGGTGATACTGTCTCTCCCCTCCCTGGAGGAGTGCTGCAGAAGCAGCATGAGCTTTGTTTGGAAAGTTCTTTGCCCCAAGGGTTGGACCCATTTGTCAGTTCTGAAAAGTCTGGAGGCCCTTGGGGCATCCTGGTGGCTGTTTCTTGCCCCTGGGGCATCCTGGTGGCTGTTTCCTGCAGCCCATGGACTGTTACCCGCTTGGACTGCACCCAGGGTTGAACTTACCCCCCTCAGCCTCCAGTGAGCCTGGATTCTAGCTTTCAAGGCAAGGATGGAGTGAGGGCAGTGATGCCTGCAGCCTATAGGGGCCCTGGTTTCTGCCCCCTTCTCTGCCCTGCTCTCTGTTCTGCTGTGGGAGGGCTCTGACTCACTTCTCTCTGAAGAGCAGAATTAGCCACTGAATAATTCACGGTGTGGAAACCAGTCTGTCTCCATCCCCCGCCGCCTCTGCTCCCTGTGTGGGGTGGTGGACGTGCATCCTGCCCCTGCCCTCTATGTGCTGGTGCTTGTAGGCTCTTGATCTCTTTGAGCTTTGCCACTTCTTGAAATCAGGGCTGCTGTGCCTTCGTTGCAGGGTTGCAGCAGGCACAGGTGGGAGGACCCCTTCCTGGGTGGGTGAGCAGTGGCTGGCTGTGGGCCTCATCTTGCCTTTCTGGTGAGGTGTTGCTAGTTATGGAAGTGGCTGCTGTGTCCCACTCAGGGTAGTGACCCCTTACTCGTCCTGTAGAAAGGCCAGAGGTTGGGGGTTGTGAGAAAAGCAGACCAGCCGCAGCCTTTTGCTGTCTCCTGCGCACACAGCCCACTGACAGGAACTGTGGTGAAGACCCCCAGGTCCCCTGCAGTGCCTGTGTGAGGCTGCCTTTCCCACTCTCTTTCAGATAGCTTGGACATCTGTCCTACACAGATTCTTTGAAAGTTGAGGCCCAGAGAGAAGACCTCCTCCAGGGAGCAAGGGCGAGGCCAGTGTCCCTGCTCCACTGGGACCCAGTCAGCCTAGGGTCCCATTGCCTGGTATGGGACCATGGAATTAGGAACTGATGGGGCTATTATTGGAGTACATGGAGCCCTGCTGGAACTGGGCCTTTGGCAGAGGAAGGCTGGGGTTGGCCTCCAACAATGTTAAGGTCTCTTGGAACTGAGAGTCTTGGGCCACTATATGTGCAAGTCCTTCATCCCAAGAAACTGACTCCTCTGGGTGACTCTGAGGGCCTGTGATGTTGCTGAGTGAATTCTATGCATGTGATGCCATTTAGGGGAGGGCAGGGGCTGGGAGAGGCCTCTGGGGTCTGCTCTATGAGGCTTCTCAACTTTGGCTCCCCTCAACGAGTGGCCCCCTGCAGTTGGGACATCCCCAGCTTCCTATACTACCTCAGTGGCTGCTGGGAGTACTAGGTCTCTTGGGGTGGGTGGGCACTCTTGGTACATGGAGAAGCCCAGGGGGGCAGGGCCTGATATGGCCAGTTGACCTGTCCTCTAGGTGAAAAGTCTTTTGATTGTCCAGACAGGGCCTGTCCTATAGTTTCCAGGCCTGGGTAGAAGGGAGCTTTGCTTAGGCTGAATATGGGTGCTGGGGGAAGGCATGCTGGGCCTGTGACTCAGTTCACTATGTGACCTTGAGTGGGCCACCCACCTATCTGGGCCTCATTGTGGGCCAGGGGTCTATTTCCTCATCTCCTGTGAATCTTTTGACCCAGCATGACCTTGTGTCTTCCACAGGGATCAAGTTCATGTTGGCTGCTTTCAGTCTTTCTCCATCTAGCTCACTATCTGCACTGGTTCAGGGCAGGCTGGAAGTTGAGAGGACTGTTAGGGCCAGTGGTGGAGTATGGCGGGGGATAGGTGTTAGCTACCTGCCATGGAGGCTTCTCGTGAGGCCACAACCCAGAGGCCCAGGGTTTGCCTGCCTCTTCCCTGATGCCTTGTCCATCCTGTGGCCTGTAGCAGTTCAGTGGCATAAACCAGATCTCCAGATAGACCTCAGTACTTGTCTCAGGCTTGCCCAGTGGATAGCCATTTCCTGTTAGAGCTCTTGAGTGCTCAGATACTTAGTAAGGACCCTAGAAAAAAGATGGATGTGGGGCTAGGGATTTAGCTCAGCGGCATAAGCACCTGCCTTGCAAGCAGGCGGTCGTGAGTTTGATCCCCGGTACCGATAAAAATGAAAAAGACAAAAAAAAAAAAAAAAAAGAAAGATGAACGTGGTGTGACCAGGCCACAGCAATAGCACATGCAAAGTCCCAGAGGCAGAGAAGCCTGAGCCTCAGTCCAGAGCAAGGAGAAGCCCTCAGGCCTGTGTGGTCAGGGGAACAGAAAATCCCAGGAGGAGGGCTAGGTATCTTGTGCTGGAGGTGTGTGGGCCCATACTGTGTTGGTTTGAATGGCCCTCAGGGGCAGCGATCTCCTAACAGCTTGGAATCAGCTCATAAGAGCACAGCCCTCGGTTTACAAGGTCAGCCGCAGGCCTTATCCGCTGGGCAGGGCTGGCTTCATTGTCATCTCCCCACCACTCAGGAAATGAGCTCTGGTTACAAAAGCAGTGTTATCGCCTGTCTTCCAGTTTATAGATGCAGTGCACGTTGGCAGGACATGCTGGGAAAAGAACCTCATGAAGACAAAGACACCCCTCCAGCCAGATTTTGTCTCTGGCGCGTGTCTGTGTGGGGTGGAAGTCACTAGACACCAGTCGAGTTGTGTACCTGCATGTCACCTGCTTTATAAACATGTGTCTTGAATATGTCCACGGCCCTGCGTGCACAGTGGTCCACAGTGCTGGGAAGGATTCTATGATTGCAAGTGGTAGAAGCCCAGTGTGGGTGGGAGTTGAGGGCTGGGCTTGGGAGTGCAGAGTGCAGAGTGGTCTTCTGCTGGGCCAGTTGGCTCTGACTGCAATGGGCAGTGCTGTCCCAGGAAAAGATTCAGTAAGCTCAGCAGAGCCTGGGTCTGCGTCACCTTGTGACCAGGGGCCATTCAGTCCACTCCCACAGGGGTTGGCTGCCACCAGGTATGGGGGAAATACTGTGTTCTGCCTTCATGTATGAACCAGTGGCTCTTGCTTTTGGAGACTCCAAGTTACATAGCCAATGCTGTCCTCGGGTTCTGTGGGAATCTGATCATTCCCTGTCAGAGAGGTGGGTGGCATTCTGGACCCCTTAGGAAGTTGTAGAGATGGATCTTCAAGAAATTGTCTGCTGAGTGTGTGGGGGAGGGGTCATTCTTTCCCAAGATGTTGGCTCCCTGCAGACCCAGCTTTAGCTGGCTCCTAGGGCCACTCCATTCTGTCTGGAGGGACCTGTGCCCACCTCTGGGCTCCTGTGGGCTTCCCGGGCCAGCCTCCTCCAGTCCTTCCTGATACCTTCTTCCTCCCTGACTCCACCAGAAATACAGGCCTATGCCCTGGACACTGAGACATCAGACACCTCCTCTGGCCATGGCCCTTCGTCACATTCTGGGGGACCAGATGTTCTTTGGCTTTGACCCTCAGCCCATAGCTACTCTGCACAAGGGATCATGCTGTGTGTTTCTATAGTACGTTTCTAGGGTAGTACAATGGTCCTGGGAGTGGGACACCTTTGCCCGTCTGTGAGCAAAGGCTGGGGTGCCTGCCCTGTAGACACAGACCAGTGTTCCTGCTCCAGCCCATCTCCTTCCCTCCCTGTGGACCATGCCTTTCCCAATAGGTAGTTCTTGGAAAGAGGAACTGATATTGCAGCCTGGAGGTAGGGATGAAGTAGAGAAGTACCCATGTAGCTACCAAGGGCCTGTGACAGCAGGTGGGCCAGGGCTTGGCAGTGGGACTCTAAAGGTTGGGTCTGCATCTCCTGGGATCTTGAGGGAGCCATACTACCCCTACTCAGCCAAGGTGCATGGGCCCTCAGGGAAGGCTGAGGACCTGGGGACTGGCCACCGGAGCCAACCTGATATGGCTTTGATGGGCATCCTGGGTGGGC